TCACCAAGAAAGTTGTGAAGTTTGAAGTTATCTGAGTCACCCTAACTTAACTCTCAAATAGTCCACAGAACCAAAGCAAAGAACGAACAAGGCGGCCCCGCCAACCTTCACTTACCCGGGCTTTGCTTGGGGTTTGATTCTCTCATTCAGGCAAAGCAATGACTGAAACAACGCTGCCCTTGTGCTTATGTTCAAAACCAAGCAACATATTACCTCCCACCAATTGACATGGAACCTGACGTTCGGGGGCCCTTTTCTGGACCATTTTCTTCTTAAAGGGACCGGGTCCTTGCTTGGTGGGAGGGTACATGCCAAGAACGGTTGGCTCGATCCCGGCCTCTCAGTTGGCAGGAAGCCTAGGACTGGGCTTTGGGGATGAACCGGAAGGGGATTCCCCAACAAAGGAAGCAATAAAAGATCGTTTACAGGGGGTCACTCCAAATCTCATTCCCTGAGAAACAGCAAGAACATGGAGACGCAAAGGAAGCACTAAGCCCAAAAGGGGCATCTATTGATCGCTTCAAGACTCAGGGCTTCCACGACTCGATGGATGTGAATCCTTCCCGTTCATTGAGCGCCTTCCCATATTCCTGGGATAGAGTTGAACTTCGTTTTCTGGCCACACCACTCTCATTCTCAGAACCGCTTTCAATGGCTGGGAGTGATACGGGAGGCCAAGGTCCTGTTTGGACAGTTGCGATGTTGGACTGTAACATAGTTTCCCCGTGTGGGCAATCTCCTGTCGCTATGGGGCTTGTACTCGTGCCTGAATGCCTTCTTTACATTGCTTTCGGCAAAGCAACTTGTAAATCGTTTTGCAAGCTTTTTCTATCTTCTAGATTCCCTATTCGTCCCAAACTCCAGAATTATACTGCCGAATACTACCCTGCAAGCGACACCAACGCCTTCCACCAGAACATGAGAAACTTCGCTCAATAATCTAGGTGCTCCAGTGGAGAGGTTAGAACAAGGGTACCCTTTTTTCTGCAGTCCATTTTAGTAGGGGACCCTCCCAACCAAAAGAAACGGTAAAAGGGCACCTAGCTGGGGGACCTAGGTATTCAAGGCTGGCATGTCCACACAGTTCAACCTTTCAAGGCTCACTCAGCGCGTGTGAGCGGATGAGCGGAAAACCCGAGCTCTCGGCTGCAGTCCGAAGTACGGAGGCGCAGGTCCTGCCAGCCATGTTTGTTTGGCCAGCGACGTGGAAAAAGTCATACCTAGAGTCTCCATGACCCTTACAAAACTTGGTTGACGTTGGAAGGGGAGCAACAATTTAAATTTTAGCAGTTAAGTGGGGATTTCCCACTAAACCACAATAAGCAAAAATGCGAAATGTTTCCCAACAACAAAGATGAAAATGGGTCCATGACCTCTTAATTTTGGGTAATGACCAACCATGTTTTAATCATGGAGACTCCAGGTAGGGGTGGCTCGGCTTGTTGCTGGGATTCGGAACCCCCCCACCGCAAAACGCAGAGAGACAGAAAAAAGGGGTACCCTCAAAAAAAAAGACAGACCTTCTTAAATTCGGGCACAACGAAACAAGCCAGACCTTCTTAAATTCGGGCACTCCCCAAGATGGTAGCACCGTCTTTCCTCTTGCTTTCCCTTTTCAAACCACGCACAAAAAGGGGTACCAACTCCAAACAAAGGACAGACATGCAAATCGGCTTTGAAAGGCGCGGCCGCAAAATCGGAGATGCCAGTTGCCCTGGGAAAGGCTTGCATCATCTGTCTGGAAGCCAAGTCTTATGCCTTTCCCGGAGCACAAAGGAGGCTTTCAGGGCTGGCATAAAGCATGATCTGAGCACTTTCGTCCAATCTGGTTCGTGCGCAACGTCTGCACCCTCGAGAGCCGAGGCAGACACGCAAAGAATGACCCCGCGATCCAAAGCGGCAACAAGCCACCTCTGAAAGAGCACTTGCGACAAGTTGCATGACAGCCTTGCCAGAGTCGGATAAACTAGCAAACTCGAATCATCCACACAAGGCACCCTTGGATATACGCGTCAAAGTGCACAGATAGAAGTTCCGAGCCAGCCGTTAACTTAGGTTCGCAACGCCGGCCTGCACCGGCATGTGCAGGAGGATGTAGGCTGGCACGGACGCCCGAAGTGAAGGAAACCGCCAGCTAAGCCCACGACCCGAACCTGAACTCCACTCTATTTTCTGTTTCAATACCTGTGAGCAAAGTTCATGTTTAACTTGCTGGTGCGGTAGGCAGGGAATGAGAATTGGAATGACCTCGAGAAAAACCAACCCTTGTGGTGTCCTTAAGGGAATCCCCTGGCATTCCCTCATTCCCTGCTGAGCAGCAGCAAGACAAGTCCAAACTTTCGGTGGGGCTATGGTCGTGGTTCTCTCAACGGCAATCCTCATGATGCACAAAAATAACATGAACTGATAACCATCCCCCCGGAGAAAAAGGGTCTGTTAACAAGGGCACATATATGTGCGCCTTTTCTGATTTTGAGGGTGCCTTGTCTTTGCTGGTTCTACATGGAAACCAAGAGGGAAACCAATTTGGGGGTCTCCCGGAGAAAAAAAAAGGGAAAAAAGAAACGAACAACAACATGCTGAACTTGCAGGCGAACTTCCCAAGCTTGGCCAGCTGCACCGGCGCAGCAACACACCTCGTCCTGCACGGAGCACACCACTTCTGTCACGTTCCTGCCGAACGGCCGCTCAGCTGAAGCCCTAGCCTTCGGCTCTTTGGAACATGGCCATGGGTCAAAAGCTCGGTTACCCCCCAGTGAACATCCCAATTTCCACTAAAATACACTAAAATGGGTGGTACCTACCCCAAAATGGTCCCCTGAAGTGTGCCATGGCTCAGTCTTTGGATTCTTGCTTGGCACCTTCGCAAAGAAATTGGGCGACTGCGCCAGCTTTTTGTGTGGCAAAACCCACGACCAGTGAAGGTGTGACATGAAAAAAATATGTCACTCCAGACCAATAGCTTCTACGAAAAAACCAAGGGGTAACCTTTAGCCTCTACAGACCAATAGTTCTACAAAACCTTTAGCCTCTCATTTTCTGACAGGTTCCGGCTTTGGTTCCGGCGCATGGCATCCAGGAAGCTCTTCGAACGAAAACACGTACCCTTCCTTTCACTAACATGGCACCTGCCCCAGGGTAGCTGGAAGATAACAATCCTACTAGTACCTATTTTTCCGCTCTTGGTATCTATTTTGTCCGCTTTCAGTATCTATTTTTTCCTCTTAGTATCTATGTTTCCTCTTTGAGGGACCCACTGTCATGTGCCATGTTCGTGGGAGGAAGGGTACTGTATATCACAGGGCCAAAGGGTCAGCCAGCTTCAACCCAAACGCTGAATTTGCCTCATGCAAATGGAATGCGGCCCATCCTGCCACAGTTTTCACGCATGCCGTCTCGCCAACCATTTTGGACACTGTCACTTGGGATGATGGTCTCAAGGGTACAAGCTGACGATACTGCCGTTTGTCCTTTTCAAGGGACCTATTTTGTTAAAACCACACACACACAAAATATAAGGAGACATGGGGCTATTGATTAGCCAAAACGGATGGAACAAGCGCAAAAGGGAACTCCCTTGACCAGTGCAGTACCTGAAGGTAGATTCTCGAAGTGTTCGGTTCCGCTCGCCCCGCCTGTTGGGAACGTCCCTCAGTGCGTTGATGCAAAAGAACTCTTCTGGCCTTGGTCATCGTGGTGGCAAAAGGGTCCTTCAGAGGTGCTACATCGCCAGGTTGGTTCACATGTCGATGGTTGCTGGGTGGTTGCTTGGTGGTGATCGTGGGTATTGGTGATGGTAAGTACGTGCCATCGTCGTCGGCATTCGCCGGCATTGCTGCCCCTGCTGCTTTGTGTTGCACAATCGACAGGCAAACCAGCAAAAGGCATGCCGAAGCAGCCCAGCTCGCACGTCATGTGGGCAGGTCCGCTCGGAGTGGTTGGCGTCATTCGGATTTTGTGAAGGAAGAGGATACTTGAACAGATACACTGAGACATGCCCATATCACAAAATGTCGAATGAGGCTATATGGCTCAGAGCACAATGGCATACGGCTGCTGAGGCTGGCGCGTGTCCGTAAAAGGCGACCTTGGGCACAGCCGGGTGCGGCAGCGTGCATTGCGGGAAATACACCAAATGAATTTGATCTCTTCCGCATTCCAACTGCGTCCTTGCCCAGTTCGTCCTAGACATAGGTGTCCTTTTGGTCAAATCGATGGTTTCCCTGGTCAATGTGGCGTAAAACCCACCTAAATCTGCGGAAGCCATCTATTTTCATACAACATCACCGATCAAACAAGTTGACCAACGGTCCTCCCATTTAGCTCGAAAGGATGGGCCCTTTGGCCAACCCCGATTAGAACTTTCTCTCACTTCCATTTGCTCCTTTCGCCTGGACAAATCACACATATGCCCAGCAAATGCTCTTTTACACCAAAAAGTGAAAATACACAAAACATTCTTAAGCAAATGGAGGCTGAAGAAATCCTTGAGAGAAACTCTCCAGCTTGCTTTTATCGAGACGGAGACATTTGCCGGCAAGCGCTTCTGCGAGGGCCCAATAAAAGAAATGGAATGATCATCCGATGTGTTGTTCTTTCTGCATGAAAGTGCTTTAAGAATGCCTGTACTCATTTGTTGGGCTGAGATTCGAATACGTATGTCAATTTTGAGTCCTATTCAAATTCTAAAATTATAATTACTGATTTTATTATCATGGTAGTGCTGGAGCGAGGTAGCCTCACATTCTTGGATCATTGGAATATATTTATCAACTTCTTCTCGATTTCTCATTGAGTTTACTCATCATAATTTAGTAAGGAAATACTATAATTAATATGTTCGTGTCAAAACAACATGTTAATCAGCAATATTCCATTTCGAAAACTAAATTCTACACAGGAGATCCTTTCCAATAGAATTTGCTTTACAAATCTATGTCCACACAATGAACCGGCTCTGTTCCTTTCCAATAGAAATGTCTTACGATCAGTCAACGTGTCAGCACAATGATCGAGCACCACCAGCAAGCACCTCCCAAATGCGTCTCCAGCATCACCTGACCTGTATCAGCTCCGCAAATTTTATTCCAGACTTGACCCACCCCCCACCCCTACTATTTTGACCCAAAGTCTGTCGCAAAAGTTGTTTTCAGTCATTCAATGTCAAAACCTGGAATAGGGCATCCCCTGAGAGAAGCTTCAGCATTGTGAGCTCGTTGCCTCCAGGCAAAAATACGCAGATCAAATATACGCGCGGGACCCTGCCCTTGCCGCCGTCTCAACGAAATCGAATCCAAGACCCTTTTGCCTCCGAGCACCCCAACGTCCGCTTCCTGGCGAGCAAGAAAGCCTGGCGCATGCGAAGCACGCGAGGAGAGATGGTGGGAGTCAGGCTCGTTCAAGAGCCACATAGGTATGGGTCAGAACGAAACCACCAGGGGACCGCAGGTCTTAGTCCATGTTTCCATTTAGCAGGGTTCCATTTTTGGGTACCTATTTTTGACCCACAGCCACATGGGAAGGGACCTTCCAATTGTCGACAACATAGTGGCTTGAGTGATTGGCTCCAGAAAGGTCCCCAAACGGGGGGATCTTTCTGGAATGTTGCGCCGAACATACCCAGAACAGCCCATCTTGCCAATATTCCAGGCGATCTAAAATGGAAGCCAATGCCACTTTAATGACATTAAAACAAAAGGGAACCTTTGCAATTGGGAAACCAAACTGCAAAACCGAGACGGAAAAGACAGGATTCAGGATTGCCCATTCATTTACTAATCCAGCCAAGACGCCCGCAGACCGCCCACCCGCCCCCCCCTCCTTCTGCGGATGGAAGATGTTCCTCAGTTGGGTGGAATCTGGAAGGTTCTGGTTGCCGAACTTGTCGTCTGGCATTTTCAAACCCAAGAATTGGAGCATCTGGGAGAAACGCTTTTTGTTCAGATTGAACTACGGGTCCAAGGCGGGAGCAAGCTTCAGCGAGGTCGTTCTGGCCTGTACCCAAACCTGTGGCCTGCGTGGCGATCGAATTCCTAGGGGCTGATTCCCCGTTCTGGAGTCTCCATGACCCTAACAAAAATGGGGGTCATTCACCATAATCATGGGGGTCATGGACGCATTTTTAAAGGGTCATGGAGACTCCAGGTAGGGGTTGATTCCAACCATTCTTTTCAACCATCGTTCTTTCAATAACCGGATCCGTTTCCTTGGGTTTCTGGAGGTTTAGCAAGAAGGATCCCTGGAAAGAACGGAAATGGAAGGTACAGCAACTGGGAATGGCGGCACTCGGAAGCTCCGCAATATAAAACCTGCCCACTGACAAGGCGCGAGCGCCCCCCATAAAGAAACAAGCCACGTGGTTTCACATCAACATGTACTAGAAGCTTGTTTAACATGGGTAGGTCGATCCGCTACTGGATTCTCAAAAAACATAGACATCATTGAAGCAGCGCCCACAACACATTGATCCCATAGATGGTTGCAAAGGGCTTGACAGGGCTATTCCCATGCAGCCAAGTAGAAGAACTCCAACAAACGTGGCCCAAGCCCTTTTTGCGTGACAACTTCGATGGAAAGGAGGGCTCTGTTTTGGTTGCGTGCAAGAGTTCTGGCAACGGGGAAAAAACTCTAGCTCGGCACCTCCCGAGAAGGTTGCTTTCGGCAGTTGGGATTGTGTTGGCTCAAGATTGGACATATTCTTCCAAGGGGGTTGGGATTGTGTTGGCTTAACAACCTTAAAGATGACAGGCCAGCCACGTATACATAGTTGTTGATTTTTTTTTTTGAGAAAAAAAGGTTTTCCTTTACACAAGCAAACAAAACAACAGCCACGATTGGAGGTGTGATATGTGCCATGATACATGCATGTCTGTGTCTAGCATACTAGAAGGACCGGCAGCGCGTTTGTTGGAAGTTTCAGACTATAAGAACTAAAGTTGTCTTGCTCCTTCTTTTGTCCTCTTTATCTTTCTCATGTTCTTTCTCTTGCTCTTTCTATCCTCTTTCCTTCCAGTTCTCTCGCTCTCTCTCTCTCTCTTTTCTCTTTGTGCTATTATTTTCCTCTTTCACAGTCTCCTTCTGTTTCCGTCTCTCTTCTATATCTTTCTCTTTTTGTTTTCCATCTGTCTATTTATCTATCCATCTATCTATGTACCTATCTATATGTCCATTGCGTTTCTACCAGCCTATCTACCTATGAATCTATCTGTCTGTCTGTCTGTCTGTCTGTCTATCTACTTACCTATCTATCTATCTATCTACCTACCTATCTATCTATCTATCTATTATCGTCTCACTTTCTATCTGTGTGCTCTCAGTTTCTATCTAACTCTCTTTGTATCCATCTATCTGCCACTACCTACCCAATCTAAACCAATCTAACCTCACCTAATCTACGTTTCTAGCTAGCTACCTATCTATCCGTCGCGCGTCCGTGCCAATTGGCCCGGCGCCGAGCCCGGCGCCCACCCGTTGCGAACCCCCGAAAAAAAGAGAGAACGGCCTCGGGGTGCGCTTGCCACATCGCGAAACACGGCGCTGACTTTGAGCACCTTCTATCCCCAAGTGCTGCACCTGTCCAATCTGAACTCTTGTCACCTCTTCTCTTTGCTTCTCTTTTCTTCTGTGCTCTCCTCCTCTCCTTTCTTATCTTCCTTTCTCTTCTCCTTCCGCTCATATCTATTTTTCCTGACAGCCTCTTCTTCTCTTCTTTTCTCTTCTCCTTCCGCTCTCAGCTACTTTCAAACGACAGCTAGCCTTCACTGGGCGCCAGTGCTACGGACGTTTCTTCTAATCTGCCTTTACTCATATGTATGTATATGCGTATCGTATTATTGTAACCTATTGACTGCACTATTTCTAGCCACTAGCAAACATCTACAATGCATCGTAACTTGAGGCAAATGTTCTGCCGCTTTGGTTCTGAATGCGGCCACGCAGCGTGTATCGAGGCTGAATGCTGACCAGCATGTTGTCCGCCTCGAGTGCGCCCAGCTGGACCGGATGACGTATGACATTGGGAAAACGGACGAAAGTGGAAAAGGCCTTTTCAGGATGACAGCGGTTCGTCCAGACATTTTCTTTCAGATTACTTTAAGTTGAAACGAGTGTCGCAGCCGGCTTCCTGGCTTAACCTGCTTCGATCTGTTTGAAGCAAGTGACTTTCTTGGCGGTTTATTCCCGTGCGTGAAATATAAAACAGACTAGAATTAGGCCACCAGCTCCCTCCAAAACCAACGAGGCAAACACACGGAAGATGAACAAACAGCCCATATACCACTCCCTTCCTGCATGGATTGGCCAAAAAGGTCGTAACTCTCTTGCCCCTCAAAGGATCCCAAGTACGAAGTCCAGGAACTCAGCTCCAATCTGCCAGGCCACCCCCAGCCCGGCGGCCCGGCCCCGTGAAGCCTTTGAAAGCCAAACTGGGCTGTCCGACACTGGCGCTGGTGAAGCGAGGGCCCAGCACATCCTGGGCGTGGAGTATGGTGAAAGCCCAGTGGGAGCGTCGGCTTTTGAACTTTTGGGTCGAGCCAACAGCATCTTGCCACACAAAATCATGTTTGGAGGTTCCTCGAATTGAGTCTTGATCAGCTGTTTGGTACTCTGCAAAACGATACACCCTGTTTATCGTAAACAGGACAGCGGCCTGGAATCAAGATCCAAAACTCAGAGGGAGCCTGATGACGCCATCTCCCGCGGGTAACGCGGTGCCTGCTTGTTCTGTGTTTTTTCTCAGCAAATTCCAACTCTCAGTTGCCGTTTTGTGCACTCCCAGCATCAAATTCGATATCTTCACTTGGACTGTTTCAAGCATTTGAAGCCAGCACTTGTACACGTTCCATTCACTGCAAAGAGCCGCGAATCCAGAATAGGCGCCAAGCCCAGCAACCCATGTCTCCTGTGTCCGAGGGTTTTTCCCTTTCCCGCTGTAAACACAGGCCTCTGACCAAATGATGATTCAACTCAACAGATCTGTGTTGTATAGTATTTTCTTGCTGAAACGGTTGGTGTCCCTTTGATCTCCTGCAATAAGAGCCAGTAACAAAAGGCACACATGGGTTTGTTTTTGCCACTGGGAATCACATGGAGCGGCTTCTTTCACCCTATTCCACAAACAACAGCGATGTTGGATCACTGGATCGGCTGGGATTTGCATCGCGCCTTCACGTTGATCAAAAGGGAGTAGGCGGCCTTGCGCACGCTGGGTGCAACTGGAAAAACAATTAGACCGCCAGGGGACCAGGTTTTAGTCCATCTTTCCATGTACCAGGTTCCTTTTTGGGCACCTAATTTTTGACCCACAGCCAAATCGATTCAAACAACAACGACTGCCAAGTGGCACCTGTTGCGTGAAAAAATGGGACGCGAGCTTCTCGATTCACGCGCTAGGTGACATCTTCCCGCTCGAATCTCGAGCTGTGGATTTCAGATGAAACTCCACTGGTTGGCCTCGCTTTAAGTTTCGAGCGTCAGGCTCAAACAGTTTGAAGTCGTGTTGCCGTTGGTCACACCACTCCGTTGCCAAATAGCATCCCCCAAGAGAGCTCTCCAAATCCGGGCCCTCCATATCCCTATGAAGGGACGCAAGAACAACATGTCGTCATTGAAGGCCACCTGGCTCGGAGCGGGAGTCCCTTCGGTGAGCAATACGTTTCCTCCCCAACAGGCAACTCCCCTCCGGGATCTTCCGCCGCCGGAATGGGTCAGTCCAAGGATGGCATAGGACAACTCGGGAGGATGACACTGTCTTCTCCTGAAATAGAAGAACTTCTGTGGAGTGACGCTATGTTTGGTTCAATTTCTTGGACTCCGATACAGCGGATATGTTCAGTTGTGAAGGGGGTGTGCTATTCCAAGGGAGGACAACAGCTCGCAAATGGTCAACCAACAGGCTCTCCATATCTTTCTTCCAACATCAAACCACCAAAAGGCCCCTCTCTCCGAGGAAATGGCCCCGGTGGCGTCAAAACAAACTTTCTTGTCCACATGGAACCTGACTGAAATTTGCGGTGGGTTCCATGTAAGTGGACGTGAGGGTACCCCATAAGGAGCCACTGACCTAGGAATTGTCTGGGATCCCGGCGGCTTCTTGCGGGGGGTTCTGGCTGATGGCCAGCAGGGTGCGGGGAAAGCTGCCTGCCTCGTGTCGTCTCTCGTGTTCGGCCGAACGCCCAGGCATAAAATAATTTGGTGTGGCTTTTTTAGGGAATCCACCCCCCAAAAAAATGGTGGTTGTTTTAAACCAACCCCACAAAGGGTACCCTCAAAAAACAACATTTCTAGAGATCATCCCTCCCTCCTTCCCTTCCGCCCTTCCTCCCTGCCTCCCTTCCTTCCTTCCTCCCTTCCTTCCTTCCTCCCTTCCTCCCTCCCTTCCTCCTCCCTTCCTCCCTTCCTCCTGCTGAAACGAGGGCATTTTTCACCTCCACACCTTCGATTGACCCTGGCAGCAGGATCTTTGTGGCAGCAAAATGCCTAAAGCATTATGCAAGCTGCAACTTCCTCCCTTCCTCCCTTCCTCCCTTCCTCCCTCCTCCCTTCCTCCCTTCCTCCCTCTCCCTCCCTCTCCCTCTCCTCTCCCCCTCTCCCTCCCTTTCTCCCTCTCCCTGCCTCTCCCTATCCCTCCCTTCCTCCCTCTCCCTCCCTTCCTCCCTCTCCCTCCCTTCCTCCCTCTCCCTGCCTCTCCCTCTCCCTCCCTCTGCCTCCCTCTCCCTCCTCTCCCTCCTCTCCCTCCCTCTTCCTCCCTCTCCCTTCCTCCCTCTCCGTCCCTCCCTCCCTCTCCCTCCCTCTCCCTCCCTCTCCCTCTCCCTCCCTCTCCCTTCCTCTTCCTCCCCCTCCTCCCTTCCTCCCCCTTCCTCCCCCTTCCTCCCTCTCCCTCCTTCTCCCTCCCTCTCTCTCCCTCCCTCTCTCTCCCTCCCTCTCCCTCCCTCTCCCTCCCTCTCCCTCTCCCTCCGCTCCCTCCCTCTCCCTCTCCCTTTCTCTCCCTCCCTCTCCCTCCCTTCCTTCCTTCCTTCCTTCCTTCCTTCCTTCCTCCCTCTCCCTCCCGTCCTGGCTCCCTTCCTTCCTCCCTCCCTCCCCTTCCTGTCTCCCTTCCTCTCTGCTTTTCTCCACTACCCGTTCCTCCGACACATTGGGGGCAAAAATTGGATCCGTGCAGGGAGCCAAGACATAGTATTGAACCATGGCCATATAGGAACTCAATGAACATCGATTAGCGACAGGTGAGCTTAGCTTGTTTGTTCTCTGGGCCTATCTGAGTGCTTAAAAGGGGTGCGAGAACACCCTGGCATATATCCACGGCCTTATGGTGTCGTTTATAAACAACGAAAACTTATGGGTGATTTGGCACCCAGTTGTACCATTCATATTGAGCAAGCAAGATCATAAGCCTCGGAACATAGAGCTGGACTCCCTTGGGCTGGGTTTCGACACCAAAAGGAAAGCCTTGGTTGAGGTCAGTCTTAAAATGCACCCCCCCCCCTGTTGAACCTGTTGCTTCCCCCCACTCCAAAAAGGGGTCCCAACAAAACCCCAACGTCACACATGGACTGGTCTCATCTTCTGGCACGCAATTCCGCAAGAAGTACCATGCTTTCAACAAGTGTCTGGGAAACTGCTCGAGATGCCATTTGTGCCCGGTGCTGAGCTCCGGGAAAGCATGTGAGAAGAACCACCCCTTTTAGTCAGCCTTTGGGGCCAACCCAAAAGGGACCAAGCCATCCTCAACCGTGGAACCTGCCGCGCAAAGGAAGGCCCTGAAGTAGGGTGCCCTGGTTTCAGGGGCCTCAAGTAGGGTGGTGTTTGTGTGTTGCTTCCCCTTTCAAACCACTCCAAAATCGGTCCCGAAACAAAAAAAACAAACACACCTCATATTCCGCCTTTGAGGCTACACTCAAGGTGCCCTTTTCGGGGATCCACTGGCTGTGGATCAAGAATATGTACCCAATATGGAACCCTGGTAAGTGGAAACATGGACCAAATCCTGCGGTCCATTTCCTGGTGGTGTAACTTTGACTAATTTTGACCCACACCCACGCATTTAACGTCGCCGGCGGGACGAAGGTGGGCACGCCGCTCAAGGCGCCCGTGCTGGCGTCCAGGATCAGCCCAGCTGGAACGAAACGCAGGCGAGGCCCGCGGGCGAGAGGCCGCGGTTCGAACGGCTTCGAGCTGAGGTAAGGGGTGGGTCCAAGGAGATCCCAAATCTCGGTTGCGAAATCTGCTCCCCTGCTAAAAGTGACTAACTTTTCCTGGTTTAATACGGAAACCCATTAGTTGACAAAAAGTTAAAGTCCTAACATCCCTTGGCAAAATGCACCAAAAACATGAATCCCCCCTGAAGCTTAGGGGGTCTTGTTGCACCCATTCTATAGCATACAACTGGCATTTGCAACAGAAAAAACAAAAAACACCTACAAAATGACGGGTCGGCTAGGTTCCATTGAGTTCTTGGTGTTCAAAACCACTTTTGGACGGACATGTCGGCAAACCCCTTTGGAGGATTATTTTGAGGGTGTCACTTTGTCCTTGTTCAATCCCTGTCCACTTCCTATGGGTCGACCCCCGGCTCAACCCTTGTGAGGTCACCATTGTTTGCCAAAATATCGCAATCCCTGACTGAAGAAACTTCCTCTCCATCCATGGAGGCATGCACTTCAGGGATGCGTTTCGGGGAGAACTGAAACTGCGACAAATGAACGGTTTCCGGCGTTCCATGGCATTGAACTTTCAAGTGCGAGCAGTTTGCTAGCGTCATTTCACAACTAAACCACCCACCCATCCTGGGTGTTTCTAAAATTATGGACCTTCGAGGTGTTTTGTTTCGTTTGTTTCCTAGTAGGGGACAGTGCGAGGGGTGTGTCATTTTTAGAGGACCGCCAAAAATGGTGACTTTGCTTTTGTTTTCCCTTTGAAACCAACCTGTATTGTTGTAGTGCTCGTGGCTGGAAAGAGAACTTTTGTGCAAACTGCCAACACTCTCGAGCGCGAACCCTCGATCTAAACCAGCCTTAACACACTATTTTGGGAACAAGGGAGGTTCCCCCAAAAAAGACTGACCCATGTTGAGAAACTACAAGTATCGCTTGGAGCGAGAGAGAAACGCGAAAAACAAAAAGCCTAAGGCAGTGTGGGTTGCTCCAAAGTATGTCGGAGCGGAGAGCTTCTGTTGATTCTCCAGCGAACCGGCTTGTTCAAGACCTGGAGACAACCCATGATAGCTTCATTTTTGCACCCAAACCCAACCCAACAGGTGGTACCCCAGTGCGGGCTTCTCAAAATGGTGGCCTTTTTTTTTGGATGGTACAAAAGGAAGGCCACAAATAAACGACCAACAGCGGTCGCTTGTTTAAATGGACTACAAGTGTCCACCATATTGCGGGGATCCCCGGGCCCGATGAACCTTGCCTGGAAGTGAGGGCCGCGATCTGAAATTCACCTGGTGCGACCAGAACTGCGCTCTGTTTTTCAGGGCACCTAGTTTGTCTCTCAACAAGGGGTCCAGGCTCCCCCAAGAAAGACACGCATCTATATATATATATATATATATTCTGGCTTAGCAACGGCGCAATGAATGAACCCCATGCTGCATGCTTGTATCAATGGCCATCTTCAGCCCAAACGGTGGCTGGCTTCCCGTGTTTCAGGCAAACTCAATCGCGAACTGACCAATCAACCATGGTTTGATGGACTCCGGCGACGGCTCCAGGAACACTGGCCACCAAGGGTGCCACTTTCTCTGCAACCAGGGACTTGGGAATACTGCCAACACATGCCAACACGCCGCGTGGCCGCCACCGGCAGGTGCTTGGCGCTAGTTGCACATACCTTCCGATCTTGCATGGATGAGGGCATAGACTCACAGTGAGGGCCTGTGAGATGCAAGCAAACTGCAGCAGGAATACGCATCCTTCCCTGCGGAGGTTTCCGGTGTGCATATTTGCAGTGAGGACATCTTTCCAACAACAAATTGACATGTGGAAACAGAAGAACCGAGCGCAGCAACATGGGTGAAGACTAGAATGTACGGGGGATAAGGGAGCGTGTTTGGCGCTCATTCCTAAGTAGGAACGAAAAAATGGAAAACCGCACCTACAAGCCAGTCAACTGCGCACGCGCCTCGTCGTAGTAGTTCCTGGGGAAGGTCTCGGTGAACTCCACGACCTGAAAGGCAGACCCAGCTTCCATACTTCGAGCATCGACCCCGGGCCCCGCTACTCCCATCATACGTGATCCTGTATGCAGCATCTGGCATCCCCCTGGCCTTTGTGCAAGGGACGCTGGGGGGCAACCGCGCCATCCGGCACACTGCCTCTTTCGCCGGGCCTTGTGACCCGGCACACTCAATCGTGCCGCAACCGGGTTCTTCGCCGGACCTTGTCACCCGGCACAATCGGCACACTCAACCGCGGGACCCGGCACGCCGGGTCCTGCACCACGGGCATGGGCCGCGGCAAGCGGAAGCCAAAGCGCCGCAAAATGATCCGCGACAGTTTCGCCCTTGCTGTTTCAAGAAGTGGGGCAGGAGGAGGGGAGAGGAAAAGGCTGCGCAGGGTGGACTTCATTTTTCAAGTTGGTTGGCCGAAGGTTCCACAAAGGGTTCGCCAATGCAAAAGTTATTGTTGCCTCGCTCAACATTAGGGCCTTTGTTAACTCACAACTCGTTTAAAAAAAAAAAAAAGTAGACCTTGCGACCGCTGACATCAACCATGGTTTTGACGCTTCGTGTCAACCCTTCATGTCAACCCTTGCGTCAACCCCTCGTGTCAACCCTCAACTTGCCCCCCCAACAACCCTCGCGTCAACTCTCACAGAGGGCTTCCCTTAACCTCAGCGCGCGACACTAAGCCAAAAAAACAAAAAACATTAGAAGCTAGTCAACTCCAGATTTTCCTTACGGCGCCCAGGATTAACGTGTCGGCCACCCGCACGGCTTGTCAGCCAAAGCGGCTTGTCTTAAACGACCCCCCAGATTTGACGTCCTGTGGGCCACCTGGACGGCTAGTCTGCTGAAGGTTTTTGTACGACTCCCAAGTTTAACGTCCGGCTCTTCGTTTTTTCTGCGTGTCCCGTCGGCCACCCGGACAGCCAATCGATTTGTTTTGGCTTCGCGGCTCCCAAGTTTAACGTCCTGTCGGCCACCCGGACGGCTTGTCAGCTGAAAGTTGCATTTTTCGCGGCTCCCCAGTTTACCGTCCTGTCGGCCACCCGGACGGCTTCTCGGCTGAAATAACATACGGAAATTGGAAAAAGTACGAACTTTTGGTTTGCTTAGATTTGGTCCTCCTAAACAATGTATCACAACAACCCAGATAGAGGAAAGCCGGTCGAAGAACTGCTGCCACGTACCCGTTCACAGGAGTCGCTGGCTCCGAAGAGATTTCACACTGCCGTGACGTTTTTGTGCCGTGTCCTGCCAAAAATGCGAGGATACCCTACGGGTATGCTCGGAGAGACATTGTCTTTGGCCCCTCGGTGTGACGACGTAACAACTCGCAACTTCGCGTCGGCCATGAAGCTCCTCTTGCAGCTAACAGACCGAAACATGGGCTTCAAAACAAATCCTTGGCTTCCCCGGGGGTTTCCCCCGGCAGCTCATTCCCCCGAAGCAAACTCCAGACCCGCACTCGCTTCAGCTCTCATCAGCTGAAGCGCCCGGGCCAGCGGTGTAAACTCCAGCTGAAGCGTCAGGTCCTGGGGTCCGGGTGCTTTGCAACTTGGCTGAACGAAGAAAATGCCAAGGTCACCCCCCACTTGGTGGTTTGGATTGGTGGCAAACATGGGACTAGTACGGAAAACATCACATTGCCAAGTAGGTCACCCCCCACTTGGTGGTTTGGATTGGTGGCAAACATGGGACTAGTACGGAAAACATCACATTGCCAAGTAGGTCAACCCCCACTTGGTGGTTTGGATTGGTGGCAAACATGGGACTAGTACGGACAACATCACATTGCCAAGTAGGTCACCCCCCACTTGGTGGTTTGGATTGGTGGCAAACATGGGACTAGTACGGAAAACATCACATTGCCAAGTAGGTCACCCCCCACTTGGTGGTTTGGATTGGTGGCAAACATGGGACTAGTACGGAAAACATCACATTGCCAAGTAGGTAACCCCCACTTGGTGGTTTGGATTGGTGGCAAACATGGGACTAGTACGGAAAACATCACATTGCCAAGTAGGTCACCCTCGCTTGGTGGTTTGGATTGGTGGCAAACATGGGACTAGTACGGAAAACATCACATTGCCAAGTAGGTCACCCCCCACTTGGTGGTTTGGATTGGTGGCAAACATGGGACTAGTACGGAAAACATCACATTGCCAAGTAGGTCACCCCCCACTTGGTGGTTTGGATTGGTGGCAAACATGGGACTAGTACGGAAAACATCACATTGCCAAGTAGGTCACCCCCCACTTGGTGGTTTGGATTGGTGGCAAACATGGGACTAGTACGGAAAACATCCCATTGCCAAGTAGCGTCACCACACTTGGTGGTTTGGATTGGTGGCAAACATGGGACTAGTACGGAAAACATCACATTGCCAAGTAGGTCACCCCCCACTTGGTGGTTTGGATTGGTGGCAAACATGGGACTAGTACGGAAAACATCACATTGCCAAGTAGGTCACCCCACTTGGTGGTTTGGATTGGTGGCAAACATGGGACTAGTACGGAAAACAACACATTGCCAAGTAGGTCACCCCCCACTTGGTGGTTTGGATTGGTGGCAAACATGGGACTAGTACGGGAAACATCACATTGCCAAGTAGGTCACCCCCCACTTGATGGTTTGGATTGGTGGCAAACATGGGACTAGTACGGAAAACATCACATTGCCAAGTAGGTGACCTGCCAATTGGTGGTTTGGATTGGTGGCAAACATGGGACTAGTACGGAAAACATCACATTGCCAAGTAGGTCACCCCCCACTTGGTGGTTTGGATTGGTGGCAAACATGGGACTAGTACGGAAAACATCACATTGCCAAGTAGGTCACCCCACTTGGTGGTTTGGATTGGTGGCAAACATGGGACTAGTACGGAAAACAACACATTGCCAAGTAGGTCACCCCCCACTTGGTGGTTTGGATTGGTGGCAAACATGGGACTAGTACGGGAAACATCACATTGCCAAGTAGGTCACCCCCCACTTGATGGTTTGGATTGGTGGCAAACATGGGACTAGTACGGAAAACATCACATTGCCAAGTAGGTCACCCCACTTGGTGGTTTGGATTGGTGGCAAACATGGGACTAGTACGGAAAACATCACATTGCCAAGTAGGTCACCCCCCACTTGGTGGTTTGGATTGGTGGCAAACATGGGACTAGTACGGAAAACATCACATTGCCAAGTAGGTCACCCCCCACTTGGTGGTTTGGATTGGTGGCAAACATGGGACTAGTACGGAAAACATCACATTGCCAAGTAGGTCACCCCCCACTTGGTGGTTTGGATTGGTGGCAAACATGGGACTAGTACGGAAAACATCACAATTGCCAAGTAGGTGACCTGCCAATTGTGGTATTGGATGGTGCAAACATGGACTAGTATGGAAAACATCAAATTGCCAATTAGGTCACCCCCCATTGGTGTTTTGGATTGGTGGCAAACATGGGACTAGTACGGAAAACATCAAATTGCCAAGTAGGTGACCTGCAAATTGGTGGTTTGGATTGGTGGCAAACATGGGACTAGTACGGAAAACATCACATTGCCAAGTAGGTCACCCCCCACTTGGTGGTTTGGATTGGTGGCAAACATGGGACTAGTACGGAAAACATCAAATTGCCAAGTAGGTGACCTGCCAATTGGTGGTTTGGATTGGTGGCAAACATGGGACTAGTACGGACAACATCAAATTGGCAAGTGGGTTACCCCCACTTGGTGGTTTGGATTGGTGGCAAATATGGGACTAGTACGGAAAACATCAAATTGCCAACTAGGTGACCTGCCAATTGGTGGTTTGGATTGGTGGCAAACATGGGACTAGTACGGAAAACATCACATTGCCAAGTAGGTGACCTGCCAATTGGTGGTTTGGATTGGTGGCAAACATGGGACTAGTACGGAAAACATCAAATTGCCAAGTAGGTAACCTGCCAATTGGTGGTTTGGATTGGTGGCAAACATGGGACTAGTACGGAAAACATCAAATTGCCAAGTAGGTGACCTGCCAATTGGTGGTTTGGATTGGTGGCAAACATGGGACTAGTACGGAAAACATCACATTGCCAAGTGGGTTACCCCCACTTGGTGGTTTGGATTGGTGGCAAACATGGGACTAGTACGGAAAACATCACATTGCCAAGTAGGTCACCCCCCACTTGATGGTTTGGATTGGTGGCAAACATGGGACTAGTACGGAAAACATCACATTGCCAAGTAGGTGACCTGCCAATTGGTGGTTTGGATTGGTGGCAAACATGGGACTAGTACGGAAAACATCACATTGCCAAGTAGGTCACCCCCCACTTGGTGGTTTGGATTGGTGGCAAACATGGGACTAGTACGGAAAACATCACATTGCCAAGTAGGTCACCCCCCACTTGGTGGTTTGGATTGGTGGCAAACATGGGACTAGTATGGACAACATCAAATTGCCAAGTAGGTTACCCCCACTTGGTGGTTTTGGATTGGTGGCAAACATGGGACTAGTACGGACAACATCAAATTGCCAAGTAGGTTACCGACACTTGGTGGTTTGGATTGGTGGCAAACATGGGAATAGTATGGACAACATCAAATTGCCAAGTAGGTTACCCCCACTTGGTGGTTTGGATTGGTGGCAAACATGGGATTGGTGGCAAACATGGGACTAGTACGGAAAACATCACATTGCCAAGTAGGTGACCTGCCAATTGGTGGTTTGGATTGGTGGCAAACATGGGACTAGTATGGACAACATCAAATTGCCAAGTAGGTTACCCCCACTTGGTGGTTTGGATTGGTGGCAAACATGGGACTAGTACGGACAACATCAAATTGCCAAGTAGGTTACCGACACTTGGTGGTTTGGATTGGTGGCAAACATGGGAATAGTATGGACAACATCAAATTGCCAAGTAGGTTTGGATTGGTGGCAAGCATGGGACTTGTGCGGAAAACATCAAATTGCCAAGTAGGTTACCCCCACTTGGTGGTTTGGATTGGTGGCAAACATGGGACTAGTACGGACAACATGAAATTGCCAAGTAGGATACCCCCACTTGGTGGTTTGGATTGGTGGCAAACATGGGGCTAGTATGGACAACATCAAATTGCCAAGTAGGTTACCCCCACTTGGTGGTTTGGATTGGTGGCAAACATGGGACTAGTACGGACAACATCAAATTGCCAAGTAGGTAACCCCCACTTGGTGGTTTGGATTGGTGGCAAGCATGGGACTTGTGCGGAAAACATCAAATTGCCAAGTAGGTTACCCCCACTTGGTGGTTTGGATTGGTGGCAAACATGGGACTAGTACGGACAACATGAAATTGCCAAGTAGGATACCCCCACTTGGTGGTTTGGATTGGTGGCAAACATGGGGCTAGTATGGACAACATCAAATTGCCAAGTAGGTTACCCCCACTTGGTGGTTTGGATTGGTGGCAAACATGGGACTAGTACGGACAACATCAAATTGCCAAGTAGGTTACCCCCACTTGGTGGTTTGGATTGGTGGCAAACATGGGACTAGTACGGACAACATCAAATTGCCAAGTAGGTTACCCCCACTTGGTGGTTTGGATTGGTGGCAAACATGGGACTAGTACGGACAACATCAAATTGCCAAGTAGGTTACCCCCACTTGGTGGTTTGGATTGGTGGCAAACACGGGACTAGTACGGACAACATCTAATTGCCAAGTAGGTTACCCCCACTTGGTGGTTTGGATTGGTGGCAAACATGGGACTAGTACGGACAACATTAAATTGCCAAGTAGGTAACCCCCACTTGGTGGTTTGGATTGGTGGCAAACATGGGACTAGTACGGACAACATCAAATTGCCAAGTAGGTTACCCCCACTTGGTGGTTTGGATTGGTGGCAAACATGGGACTAGTATGGACAATATCAAATTGCCAAGTAGGTTACCCCCACTAGGTGGTTTGGATTGGTGGCAAACATGGGACTAGTACGGACAACATCAAATTGCCAAGTAGGTTACCCGCGAATTGGTGGTTTGTGGCAAACATGGGGCTAGTATGGGCAACATCAAATTGCCAAGTAGGTTACCCCCACTTGGTGGTTTGGATTGGTGGCAAGCATGGGACTAGTACGGACAACATCAAATTGCCAAGTGGGTTACCCCCACTTGGTGGTTTGGATTGGTGGCAAACATGGGACTAGTACGGACAACATCAAATTGCCAAGTAGGTTCCCCGCGAATTGGTGGTTTGGATTGGTGGCAAACATGGGACTAGTACGGACAACATCAAATTGCCAAGTAGGTAACCCCCACTTGGTGGTTTGGATTGGTGGCAAACATGGGACTAGTATGGACAACATCAAATTGCCAAGTAGGTTACCCCCACTTGGTGGTTTGGATTGGTGGCAAACATGGGACTAGTACGGACAACATCAAATTGCCAAGTAGGTTACCCGCGAATTGGTGGTTTGGATTGGTGGCAAACATGGGACTAGTACGGACAACATCTAATTGCCAAGTAGGTTACCCCCACTTGGTGGTTTGGATTGGTGGCAAACATGGGACTAGTACGGACAACATCAAATTGCCAAGTAGGTAACCCCGACTTGGTGGTGTGGATTGGTGGCAAACATGGCACTAGTAGGTTACCCGCGAATTGGTGGTTTGGATTGGTGGCAAACATGGGACTAGTACGGAAAACATCAAATTGCCAAGTAGGTTACCCGCGAATTGGTGGTTTGGATTGGTGGTACACATGAGACTAGCAGGGAAAACATCAAGTTGCCAAGTAGGATACCCCCACTTGGTGGTTTGGATTGGTGGCAAACATGGGACTAGTACGGAAAACATGAAATTGCCAAGTGGTGATCTGCCAATTGGTGGTTTGGATTGGTGGCAAACATGGGACTAGTACGGACAACATCAAATTGCCAAGTAGGTTACACACCAATTGGTGGTTTGGATTGGTGGCAAGCATGGGACTTGTGCGGAAAACATCAAATTGCCAAGTGGGTTACCCGCCAATTGGTGGTTTGGATTGGTGGCAAACATGGGACTAGTACGGACAACATCAAATTGCCAAGTAGGTAACCCCCACTTGGTCGTTTGGATTGGTGGCAAACATGGGACTAGTATGGACAACATCAAATTGCCAAGTAGGTTACCCCCACTTGGTGGTTTGGATTGGTGGCAAACATGGGACTAGTACGGACAACATCAAATTGCCAAGTAGGTAACCCCCACTTGGTGGTTTGGATTGGTGGCAAACATGGGACTAGTATGGACAACATCAAATTGCCAAGTAGGATACCCCTACTTGGTGGTTTGGATTGGTGGCAAACATGGGACTAGTACGGACAACATCAAATTGCCAAGTAGGTAACCCCCACTTGGTGGTTTGGATTGGTGGCAAACATGGGACTAGTACGCAAAACATCAAATTGCCAAGTCGGTTACCCGCCAATTGGTGGTTTTTGGTGGTTTGGATTGGTGGCAAACATGGGACTAGTACGGAAACATCACATTGCCAAGTAGGTGACCTGCCAATTGGTGGTTTGGATTGGTGGCAAACATGGGACTAGTACGGAAAACATCAGATTGCCAAGTAGGTTAGTTTCCGTTGCGTGTTTGGATTGGGGATTCGATCCAAGAGGGTTCTTGTAGTAAAAGGGAAATCACCAACAACCTGCGAATCAATCCAAGCCACCAATTAGCGAGGTCCGGCAAAAGTTTGCCGACTTTTCCACATGCGAAAAGTTACCCATGGTCATTTGGGGGCCGAACGAAATATTGATCAACCCCCATATGCCAAACCGGGATAGTTTCTGCACTCTCTGTTTGGCCTTACTCGGATTCGAGATAAAGCAGCGTCTGAGCCATCTTGAGTGAAAAGGAAAATTGTTATTGGAACATGTCAGTTTGTGAAAAACAAGAGTGCTGAGTGTCAAGACGAAGGCCGGCAGGTAGGGTCCAGTTGGGTCCCATTTTGTTGGGACTTGCGCAGCTCATTTCAGTTGAATCCTATTGGACCTCCACCCAAGAACAAAGGACTCTGAACGTGCCACCGGGCAACTGAGAACAGAACAGTGAAAGATCTAGGTTGGATTCTTTCGCAAAATGGACAGCCATCTTTCATGATTGGGTTTGCCGTTTTTTTTCCACCCACCCACCCACCCCCAAAAAGAAGAAGAAGAACAATTACACAGTGTCCTTATCTTAGGACACAACCACTTGTGTTGGGTAAATATGTGCGTCAGACAGAGGTCTAATCATAATAAGACACCACGGCCCACTTCAGCCTGAAACACGGGACCTCACTCGAGATGGACGCAGGACACAAGCAATTCGCATCCTGATCTACAAATTCTACAATCCCAAAACCTGACATAAGACATGCATTCGCAAAAGGACCTCGCCATATATATATATATATATATAAACATATTTTGATAGTTTGGTGAACTTGACGCGCAAGAAGATGCTCCATTGCTTCAAAAACAGGGGGGCGTAGGAACATTCAAGCTTCCTTTTTGGTCTCCCAGTGCGATCGAAGCAAATCATTACAAAGAGTCTGTTTGGAGTTAGGCCCTATTGCAAGACACTCCATACATGGATGTATCTAGTCTTGCTTTTAAAAAGCCACCCCTAAATTCAACAACGCCTACCCCAGCTTTACCGCAACATTTATCTGCAGTTCACAAGCTCTTCTCCAAACTCCCACACCCGAAATCGCCACCAGCGCCGATGCACACAGACTACAACCTGTAAAAGCCTGGACACATTCAGCTGTTCCCCTCACCGCCATGTGCCAGCGACGGTCTCTCGCGCGGCTGGGGCGCTCTGCGATGGAGGTCACAGTGGCATTGAACTGCTTGTAGACAAAGGCTGGCGGCTGCCTGGCCTGGAAAACAAAGCGAACCGGCGCCACGGGGGGGGGGGGGGGAACACCTTCTTCGTTTGCGCCGAAAAAAGGCCAAAGGCTGCGGAGGTGTTCCCGTGAATCGCGGAATCTCTGGTTGGACTAGCTTGATCTGGACTTCTGCATGAAGGATTTGGACTTTGAGCCTTTGGAATCCACCCTGCCAAGGGGTTGGACTTTTAAGCCTTGAGATGCAAGTCGTTCAAAACCCATGGCTGGATATGACGGTTTGTACGCACCATCACTGCAACCCGAAAGAAGCAAAGACTACAAGCCCTGGCTGGAACGGCAAACCACCAGGATGCGCTGCCAAAAAGGGAGCATCGGCCACCTGAGGGCGGATCTCCGTGACCATCAAACGGTCCAATATAATTTCATGTCAGTCGGGAACCTAGTCAAGTCAGCAATTCGACACCCGTCATCATGTCATTGTCCCCGCATAGCTGAGCAGTCTGATAAAGCGCGGCGATGCAGGGTCATGGTGGTACTTGCACCCAAAAAGAAAGGTCTGCGCTTCCAAAAGCAGCTTTGCATGTGCCTGTGGCATTTGTCTTCACCCGGAAGCTCTACAGAAAACTCATGTTGGCGAGAGTGGACAACCCCGGAGGAGTCAGAAGTAACGAATCGTTTGTAATATGGGACTCCTAACTTGATGTTTAGCAGAAGTCGATTGATCCCGGATTCTCACTCGTATACAAGGGTGTCTAAGGTCAATCCTAACCTCTTCGCACGAAGGACACGGTCATAAGCAGTCGCCGGTTGATCGCAGAAAGCTTCAGACTGGGCTTGACCCTTGAGACTTCTTTTAGAGGAAGTTGAAGATGGGTTGTTTGGCACCCAGTAAGTCTGATGGTGAGGGGCCAGCATCAATGGTGGGCTTTGCTTTGGGTGCTCTTCATGCCGGTATGTGCGAATGGGGATTGGGGAGGGGTGACAATGTCAGCAAGTCATCTAACACTTTGATGCTTGGCAGCTCGAGTTGGTTGCCTGTGCCCGAAAGCCAGCAACTCGCTTCGACCCAAGCCCATGCATCGCACAGTTGGCCGGAGCTTTGACCATAGCGACCCAAGTCTTTTCGGCCAAACGCGAGTCCCAGGCTTGCGCCGATAGACCCAGACCTTCAGTGGCCATGGGACAAACAAAACAACGCATCTTGCTTTGGCAGTTCATAAGGGAAAGCCCTAACCAAAAGGAGAAGACACCCCGGAAGCTGGCAGCCATTGCTCTTCTCAGACCCGACTGCTCCAATTGCCTGGTTTTCCTGTGGGACACCCCGCAGTTTCCCAATTCCTGAGTGCCCCGAAGCCATTGAGAATATGTATCAACACTCTCTGTTTTTGTTTTTGTTTTCTTCTCCGTCAGTCAGTCAGTTAGTCAGTGTGAAGTCGGGAAATGCGACAGCATGTGGACCAGCCAGGTAGAGGCGGTAGGGACCATTTCTCCAACAAATTCCGAGGGGGTTCCATGTTAAATAATTGGTGAGAGTGTTCCTGCTGTTGGTGGTATCAATAATTACTGATGGTGTTGGTCGTGGTAATACTAACAAAGAAGGATATTATAATGATAGTAATGTGTGGTTCGTGTTGTTGGTGTTGGCTGTGATAGTGTAACTGGAATGTTACTATATCCCCCCTCTAAACCAGGCTTCGGAGGCCTGCACGTCCATCACCATGGGCGCCGTGCCGGGGTAAAGCACCGTGGAGCCCCTTGCGGCTTGAGGACTTTCGACCCATCAAGATGCTCATGTGGCTCCCTCCCCCCCCAAACAAAAAAGGACAAAAGTGAAGGAATGCCTCTGGCACATAGGTGTCCTTTTGGACAAATAGATATCGTTTCCCTGGTAAATGAGGCATAAATCCAATTTAAACCAGTGGAACCCATCTAGTTCTAGTCAAACTAACCGATAAAGGACACTAATGCTCTGGCCTGGGACCCCCCGCAAGAATGCTCAAATCCAGGTTGAGATATGGGCAAAAACTTGAAAACGGAAGACAATGCAATAGAACTAGGGAAGGTATGCCAGGCAAAGGACAAATCAACCAGGGGTTGATTGATCCTAATTGGCTCTTCACGAAATGGGTTTCGGTTCCCTCGGTTCCTACCAACCAAAGCTGCGCTGACCCACCCTGCATAAAGAAGTTCTTAAGGGACCGTTCTGCAGGCCCATTTGCAAGCCTCTTATACTATTTGCAAGCTAAAAACAGCCATCATGTTGTTTATCACGTGGCAGGGCAGGGGATATTGGAGCTGTATCTAAATACCTGCGTCCTTCCTCTTCGGGTATCAAACTTGCGTTCCAAAACCCGGGGAAATGAGGAATATCAAGAGGCGTACGGTTATTGTCAAGGTGACTGTGCTGTCGTGCAATAGCTTGCCTTTTTGTGCACAGGCCCACACAGAGTTCCAAGTGTTGCGAACCACTTAATGCGAAGAAGACCCGAGTGTTGACCCCGCATTCACAAGCCTGGCGGATTGCACAGGTTCCAGCACAACTCGCCAAGAAATTGATTAACCCTATTTAACCATGGGTTCCAGGGCACCACACCCTGCGTTGCTTTCGGGGTCAAGAGAACCAGTCCCAAACAGGGCCCAAGGGCTCACCCTCATTGACCCAATTCAGATGAAACTTCTTACTAATGGTAAACAAGACAACATGTGTTGAATACTTGGAATCCCAAACTCCCCTCTCCCTTTGACTCAGGCCCGGGCTCGTGAGCGCACCAGACCTTGGCTCGTGGAGATCAAGAGGCAACCAAAAATTAAAGCCAGCTTAATCATTGACCACTGAAAGGCGATGTCAAAAGTCAACAAGCATGACATACGCACAATCTCACACACACACAAGCACGCAACACACGCACACACACACACACACGAACGGATACACACAAGCACACACTCACACAAACAAACAAACGAAAACACACACACACACACACACAAACACACACAACACACACACACAAACACACAAACAAACAAACAAACAAACAAACAAACAAACAAACAATTAAGCAAATAAGCAAGCAAGCAAGCAAGCAGGCAGGCAGGCAGGCAGGCAAGCAAGCAAGCAAGCAAGCAAGCGGACAGCGGACGGACGGACGGACGGACGGACGGACGGACAGACAGACCGACAGACAAACACACAAACAAAACACATAAACACACACGTGCACACATGGCGAAACACACATGTGCATGTATACATATATATATATATATATGCATATGTGTAGTTCATGTATATCATAAGTCTAGCCTCTACATACAAATGCATTCAATATAAGGAGCAGAAAAGATTCTATATGCCTGCCGGCTTGGCCCAAGAGTATCAATTGATCGTCTGCTTTTGTTGGGACCACTGCAGCCTTATGTGGGTCATTGACGGAGTGCTTACTCTTGAAGGCTCTTGTGCATTTGTGTGAAAGCCAACCGCAGTCTATGCGGCACACATCACTTCTGAATACTTCACTTAGGTCCCAACCCAATGAATTTACTGGCGCCATCCAATGATTGCGCTACAGCAACAATCATCCAGGAAGCATCCGAGTCCCCCTTCCCCCTCCCCAAAAAGCAATAAAGCAGGAAAGTGGTTTCAACACACCTGAACACACCTGAAAATCAGCCTTTCCTCCCATTGATGCTATGGAGCCTGGTTTGGATGCTAGGGCTGGCTTCCCCTCACCTGAAAGCACACTCGCATGCAAAACAAACCAGCGCTCCAACTACCTACCCTCTATCGGTGCACATCTCTCTCGAAGCTCCCAAACTCAGATTTCCTGGCCCACGGCTCACCAAGGAACCTGAAGGTCTATGCCCTAAGCTGTGCCCTGAACGGAGACGGGGGACATCTTGGTGCTGGGCCTCTTCGGCTCTATCCCCAGTATTTCACCGCACCGGCTGACAAGCTTCGATCTGGATGGTGGACCCCAAATTTGGCCCCAATTGAGAAACCAGGCACTTGGGCAATGGGGCCCCCATCCAAACACTCCATGGCGAGCCTCTGAGCCACTCAACTACTGAAGCCCAGCGAGGGATTGGCAGAACAAACCGGCCAATCTACAGTTCAAATCGTACAAAACTCATTCGAGTTCCCGCTAAGGCGTGGAACCATTTCAGGGAAACCCCACGGCCACGAAGAAGCAATGGGCTTTTCTCAGGATCCTGCCTTGCCGGAGTGAAGCCCGTATCAAGCATGTATTGTGCGCTTCCTGCTCCGTACAATGTAAAACGTATTCGAACTCTCTCCATATGCAACAATGTCCTTGGTGTTGTTTTTTTTGGAAAGTGTCAAGGGCCTAGCTGCTTAAATCCCACATGCTCAGAATCAACGACAACTTTATGTATTCCCTTCAAATTAGTTGGTTGTACAAGCCATGTTTTGGTTGTACAAGCTACGTTGGTTGAAGAAACAAGAACGAGAAACTGTTGAACAGTGAATGAGGATTGCCACTAGTGTTGACAAACTGGCATCGTCCACTACTACTGCCACCTCTACCACCGGTACTACAACCACCACCACCACCGCTGCCACCACCACCGCTATTGCCTCCGCCTCCACCCTCACACCGCTTTGCATCCTCCCTAAGACATTTGTGGAGATTGGAGCCCCGCTGTCTTCGTCATGGGGAATGCGAAGAGGGCTGCACACTTCATCACCACGCTACCACTTGGCTGCTGTTGCCCCTTCTGCAACAAGTGTTTCACATTGTGTAGGTCCAGTCCGGAAAATCCACTGCTTCCCAAAAAGTCAAACTCCAAAACATCCAGCCAAATGGCCATCTAGGTCCTCCAGTAGAGAGGTTAGAATAAGGGTACCAACTTTTTCTGTCTATTGTAGTAAAAAAAAACCCTCCCCCCCAAAAGAGACGGTAAAAAGGGCGCCCAGCTGGGTGACCTGGCCGGGCGAGGTCGGTTGCTTTCTGGATGGTTTCCTTGGCGCCGGGCGAAGACGGAGGGCGGCGCCCCCTGGAAGTTGAAGGAGGGCGCGAGGAAGTTCACTCGGCTCTGCAGCAGCCTCGTGGACCGTTGGATCGGGAGCCAAAACTCCTGGGGGCTGGGGGAGGGAGAGGAGGGGAGGGCGCCCAAAGCCTTCGCCTTCACAGGGCTCCCCTCCCTCCCCCACCAGGATATATGGGAACCAAAAGGGGGGGCATGTTGAGCCCCTCACGCCCTGAGGGCGGGGTGAGCAATGGGCAGTGGCTTCTTTCAAGGCACTCATTGTGCACTAGGGTTCATTGCCAAGACGACTATGTCTGAACAACTCTTCTGACAGGTTACGAGGTTTCACAAAATTATCAGTCAAGGTTCTAGGTCATAATAAAGGTGTAACAGGTCGTGAAGGTATAATAGGTTGCATAGCCAGTGCAGGTGGCAAAGCTTCAGGTGAAGCAACACATGTCTTCCATCTGTTACACAGTTCGAGCTTCTGCCTCACCCCGCCCGCGGGGTAGGGGGAGAGCCAACTGGCAAATCTACCTGGAAGCTACAAGCCAGGCAGCTGGGAAACAAATGCACCGCCCGGAGAAGGGGGAAACACATCCTCGGGGAGCAGGGTTGTGGGATCAAGGGATTTTTATATGGGGGGTTGGTCTTTGGGAGGCCCTTTTTGTTGTATCACAGCAGTGGTCATTTCCCACAGCCCTGGAATGGTTGGCAGTCCTGAGGCAAAGGATTTCCAGATCTCCTGAAAACAAAAGTCAACCAACCAAAAACACAACCATCCACTGGCGGATGGTGCTACTCAGCGTGCCTCCAATTGGTGGCTCAGGAGGGGTTTCCCATTTACTCTCTACAAGAACCAGATGGTCAAATTGAAATCCAAACAAACCAATCCAAACCACCAATGAACGGGGGTACCAGGTGAATCCCAACCGCCTCAGTCTCAGGGTTGTGCCCTGTCCAAGATTTGCCGTCCTTCGAAGCCCAACGTTAGTGACTGAAAAGGTAGCAGCTACACAACTTCGCAAATCAAACAAAAACACACAAAACAGAAACAGTGTCCGTTCGCAACTGCGAATCTTTCGCTGTGCTTCAAACAACGACGGTCACCAAACTCCTTATCGGATCCTGCGCGATGAATTCTCACGCTCGCCTCAGCATGATCACCTGGTATGTGCCCGGCACGTCGTACCTGCTTGTGCCGCACGCGGAAAGCAAACTGCTTGAGGGTTGAAATTGCCACCCCAAGCGTTTCGTGTTCCTAGGAGCATGGGGTGCTCCCGAAATGCATATTCCGAAATGCCAACTCTACAGATGCATTTGCTAGATACAGCAAAGGGAAAAGAAGTTATTGTTACCTGGTTAAACAACCATTCTTTTCAGAACCTTTTCTTGGCTTACATCTACAAGTCGCCGAAACGGGTGCGTCCGTATGACCCGAAAAAAAAAATCCCCCCAGCCCTCGCACTGCACCAGGTCTGACTCCCCCAAGAAGCTCTGCGAGTCCTCGGCTCGAGATTGAGCAAAAATACCCCTGGCTGCATAGGTGTCCTTTTAGGTTGGAAATAGATGGGTTTCCCTGGTAGATGATTCAACCACCAGGTAAACCAGGAATCGCCATCGATGTTTCTAGCAAAACAACCAAAAAGGACACCTATGCCTGGGTGCCCCCAACAGACATTCCTAACCGAAATTCTTGGAACCGAGTCACCGTATATAACCAAGCTGCCCCAAGCTGGGGAATAACCACCATGCACTCGCTTGGGTCCTTAATTTTCATGTGCGGGAGAACAATGTATTCCAATTATGGATGCCGAACCATTGTCCTTGGTGGGGGGTGAAATAAAAACCCGGGGATTTTCGCTTGGTAGTACTAAAACCCCGGGTTGAAACAAGATAAGCAAAAAGCAGGCCTTGCAAAGTGTACTTTGTATTTAAGCTGTACAAACCCCATAACATGTACCATGTGATGTTCACCAGCTCTCGTAATTAGCATCCCTTCATGCATCCACTCAGTAATCCACTCTAAACCAATCCTGGATATCATGCACTGGCTTCCTTTTAGGAGCCATCTGCTCGATGGGCTCCCTCATGTTGGTCGGAACGGTCTCCGCTTCAGCAATCCGTTTGAAAAAGCGAAACCTTGGGTGTGGCCAACCAAAAAAAAGGAAACGTGATTGAAACGTGGGGAATCCCGCACAACGGCTGCTGCTGAACTGGGAATCAGGCACTCCTACTGTAGGCCTGACGCCCAGAGAACATGGAATACTTTGCCCCCAGTGAACATCCCAATCCCAACTAAAATAGACTAAAATGGAGTGGTGCACCTACCCCAAAATGGTACCATTGGTTTTGACCCACCACCTGTTTCCAGGTCCCAACACGCGAATGGCAGTTGAGAGCTTGGTCATCTGAAATAATGTGACAAAGCCGTTGTACCTATGGTTGGCTTCACCGGTTGCCTCCAACAAGCAAAGGGACCAAGAAAAGGTACTCAGATACTCACCTGGCCCAAATGTTTCGAATCATTTCGCTTCATTGCCCTGAAATCGCAAGGCATCCTTCGAGGTTGCTTGCAGCACCTAACCGTACCTAACCTTCCAAAAACGATAACCTCAAGAAGCATTGACCACCAAGCACTCTGTCAAAGTGGTTGCAAATCAACCCTCCAACTTCGCCATCGACCGCATCTCGCCTGCGGCTTTTCAGGGTGAGCATCTCAGGTCCAAGCCACAGGTAGGAAGATGTCCTTGGGCTCCTGGGCGTGTTGAAAGAAGAAACGACCAAACTCCTCGCTTCCCCAACTAGGTCCTCCAGAGAGGTTAGAATCAGGAAACCAACTTTTTTTCTGTAAGAACCCTCCCCCAAAAAAGGGTGAAAGGGCACTACTGGGGGACCTAGCCAAAGGACTTGGTAGGAATCGGCCCGCGCCACTTGCTGCAACTTTTACTCCTGGCGTGAGCTAAACGGATCGAGTTGGAGGGTGGGATTTGTGAGGGATTGGGGTTGACACCCGTGCCCTATCGTCAGTGCTCCCTCAAGACACTCGGTAGCTAGGGACATAAAATGCCAAGGTCGAAAGTCAAAGGGTCCCTCCCAAATACCGAGAACATTGCAGAGATGAATTTCGAACTTCCCTTGGCTCAGTGGACCGACATTCTTCTTTGACCAACCACCTCCAACACACATCGATTCCTTAGGAGTATCTGTCAGTCGGGGGGACAAGTCACAACCAAAAAGCCGATCCTGAGAGGTTGGGGCCCCTTCAAATGGTTGATTTCAAAATGTGTCTTCCCCATTTTAGGACATGCTCTTTTGCACCTGACTCAACACTTGAAGGCATCCCTATATACTCCTTGCCTGAAACCTGCAAACAAAACCGCCGTGCTCATACTTCCCTGGCGCGTGGCACCCCTCATGACGGATAAGCAGCCATGGCAAAAGCGGTTACCCTTCCTCCCACGAACCGAAGGCATTTGCGGGAGGATACCTGAAAAACAATTTCCTCTTGGCACCCGTCAGCTGTGATGGCAACGGAGGGTAGATCTGTGATCGGGCCACTTGAGCAAGAGAAGCGCTAGGGCGAAACCGAGCAGAAGCGAGGGCGAGGCGGAATTCTTCTCTGGGCCGTTTGGGCCCGAAGCGAGCTTAGAACATGAAGGCTCATATTTGATTATATTGATTCTACCCGACTCTACCCCAACATGTGGATTGAATCAACCAGTCAAGAAAGCACCCCCCCCCCCGCACCCCCCCCGCAAATTCTTGATGAGTCCAAAAGAAGGCAGGCAGAAGGCTATATCCACTTGCCGAGGCTGAGGAGACAGAAGGATCCATACTCCGTGGACCCTAAGACCTGGAGGGGCTTTGTTTCGATCACTTCTGTCTGTCGGCCTGACTGGTCAGAATCAAGTGTGGATTTTATCACTCGTGCACTTGCTGCAAGCAGAAACTCCAGCGAAGCGAAGTTTAATTACTGGGAACACCACAGGCGCACAGCACAAAACAACATGGAGTGTGCTCAAATCGGGGACGGCCCTTGAAGTTAAACCTCCCCGGCCTGTGGCGGGCTCAGCGTGTCCAGAAACCTCAGGGAGTGCTGGCAATGCTCACCCTCCATGCTGGCATGGGAGCTTCTCAAAATGCTTGCCCCTATAAAAAGGCAACCAGCCATTTAACATAAATGGAAAACCAACCTTCAGCAGGGCTCATTGAATTCCCGTGGCAAGGACATACAAATCGACCATGGCTGAGTGCTGGCGAAGGGTTGTCTTAGGTTGCTCCCACCTTGACTTACCCCTTAAAACTCCAAGCCCTGGGGAAGTTAGTCTTTTACAGACATATAGCCCATGTTACCCAAAAAGTTGAAAAAGTTGTGTTTTTAAGAGGTAAGTTGAAGTTGCCAAGCACCAAACCAACTTTCTGGCTCAATTTCCGTAACAGCCTCAAAGAAACCCGAGCCACATGGTACAGGGAAAGGCAAAGCCGCCGGCCAGGCCCATGTTGGCTATGAGACATGCTCGCTTGGGACTCAGTTCTGAACGAACCGTTTCGGGCTGGGAAACCTCGACTTCCACGGCTCGAGACGATCGGCGATGTCGGATGCGCCACCTTGAAAACCTGGACGGATTCTTTCTGGATCATGTAAGGCAACCTTCTACATAGCTTGTTGAGAGTGTTCAGGATAGAGCCAACCCACTCTTGCCTCTTTGGCAGAACCCCCTTGACTGACCGGGTGGACACATCTAAACAGTTCTCAGAAGTTCTAAAACCAACAACAGGCAAGTTGGTCGCAGAAACCGGCTACTTGAACTCGCATGTTGGACTATCCAGCTTGACATTACACCCTCCCCAAATAGCGGAGTGTCAACCGATCTCAATGAATAAGAAACTCCTACAGCAAACATCAGTAAACTGTTCTCGGAGTGACACATTTTGCAAGTGAAGCTGAACTGGGAAGCAGAGCAGGGTACTGCATCTAGGTCTGAAATATGGAGGTTCAAATTGCGCTGACCCATCTGCGTTTGCATGAAACCGGCCTTTTGGGCCCCCTGGAAACCCATCATTCTCAAGCAAAACAAATCCCCAAGTCAGCAAGTACCAATGGCTTCTCTCAGCAGGAAAATCGATCATGGTCCAAATCACCTTAGGAATGGGCCACCCTGCCAGGAAACAGGGCTGTTGACCTCTTGTCGGGGGCCCTCGGCTTCCCTATCCCAAACAAGAATCCTATCATTCCCCCAAGAGCGATGCCCAAATCGCTGAGGCGCGCGCCCCAGGCATCGTGCAACCCCTGGTAGCTGGGAAGTGACGTTGAGGTGCCCTGCTAGCGTCGTGGACCTCGCGATTCGCGCCATGCGACGAGTCCCGATGAAGGACTTGGATTGGATCCGTTGGACTGTTGGATCGGGGGAAGAAACAAAAACACACTTTGGGGTTGCAAGAACACAGGGCCTTCTATTTTTTGGACTGTTGGCAAAAACACTGGTGACCTTTCAGGTGGCAATAACACAAATATGGGCCCTCCTTTTTTTGGACTGCATTTCTAGGAGGTTCCTTGTGCGCGACGCAAACGGATTGCTTTCATAGTGAGCCTGAAAGCTTCATACCAGCCAAATAAGACAGTAATGGTTGGGAGGTCTTTGGGGGTGGTTGGTAGGGCCCGTGGGTTGTCGAGCTCGATTTTTCACGAAACTGGCGTACTTGTCCTCTAAGCTCTGCGTCCCCCGATCAGCAGCACTCTCTAGCACTCTGGCGTTTGCAAAATCTGGCACGCCATTGCCATTGGGAGAGACATACTCTCAAGAGCAAAATTGTCATGACGCTTGCAAGTTGACTGGCGGCCAGTCCCCATGGAAGAACCACACACACACACACACACACTCAAACCTGCCAAAGGTCGCGAAAGGCGTCCAAGTTGGACGCCTTTCCAACCCTTTTGGTTACATAGTTGCAGCGGGGGCTGAGGGGTGGGAATCAAGTCCCCTCAGGCACCTGACGAGTCAGTCCGGGCTTTCACGCGGGGGAGCTTCCGCAGTATGCAAGCCGCTGAGCACGTCCAGCGACCTTGCGCGCAAATGAAACTGCTTCACCGGTCAACTGTGAAACAAGTAAGAACAAAAGGCGCTACAAATTAATTTCGCCCTGGAGTGGCTCCTTTTCATAACCAACATTAAAGGTCAGGCATTTCAGTTGGCCGTGATCCTCTGGCAACATGCGGTTGACTTCCTGCAAGGAAACCAAAGGGAGAAGGAAAGAGTTTGAGGACTTGCAGATTCAGAGGTCACTTACCCGTGAATATACTTGTTTGGGCTCAGGCTTCCCACTTGCAGGTGCAGGATACCTAGCAAGTGCTCAGTAACTGATATAACCCACTTATCATGGCTGTGAGTCCTCTAAGAGAGTCACCGGTTGCAAACCGCTTGCTGCCCATTTTCCAAGAAGCATGGAAGTGCAAGAACAGGGTTTTGGAACACTGCCATTCTCTGAAGGGCCCCCTCTGTGTTGCTAAAGGTTGATCACCTTTGGTAGGTGATATATGAAACACCCATTGAAAGGTTTAAGGGGCGATGCGCACACACAAACCGACCATGTGAAGACGGCACTGCGGCTCGAGAACCTGGCGGAAAGACCGGGCCAATGCGGTTGAAGATCGGCTCAGCATCCTGGCACTGTCGCTTGCGGCGAAGAAAACAAAAACCATGGAACAGATACCCAGCCCCTGTTGGTTTCCGCGTTTCCCTTTGTGCAAACTAGTTTCTATGGGCTATATAGAGCACCCAGCCAGCGTCTCAACCTCTGAGCAGCGTAGATTTCCATGGGACAAAGGCTCTCTGATTTTGGTTGAAATTTAAGAGATGCGTTTTCCCAAAAATAGTTGGATAAAGCGTATACGGCTGGGCAATTGGGCCCCTTTCTAAAATACGTCGAGCTGGGACGGGTGATGGATTTCGGCGTAACACACAAATTTATTGAGCTCCTGCAAAAATAATGTTCCATGTTTGCTTGATGGTGATAGACTCCCAAAGGTTTGCTAAGAGGTCGATGCATTGCGGATGTCAGGAAAGGCAAGCGAATCAGCAGCTCGAAGTCACGTTCGTGGTTACTAGCGCTCGCTCCGCCATCACCTTCGCGCACCAGCCGAAATCGCCTCCGGCTGATCTCAGGAAATTCTCGGCGGAAAGGCACCAAGTGTTGAACCCTGCCTGCCATTTGCTCCAGGCTTGCCCGCTACAAGGGCACGTGGCGTGGGTTGCTGCGCATCCTGAAGGCCCTGCCAAAGGCCTCGGGACACAAACGATGGTAGGTGGGTAGACTAGGTGACCTATTTACAGTGATACAGCGCTGGCTGGGCACGTATTGTGTAATACAACATGACATGTCACCAACCCGTTACCAGCTCGGTCCAGTACTCAAGCCGCACATCCGCGATGATTTGGTCAGAACGTCTGTGATTTGGGCGGCATCTGCAGAGCCTCCATACTCCTTCAGGTGATTGTTCTGTTTTGTTCCTCGAAAAAAACACCTCAAGTGAACTTTGCGAAGATGTAAAGACTCCCGTGGGATGTTGTCGCACTCGCCTGTGTAAATTCGCAGCCTGAACCGTCAGCTCCCATTTCGTCTGGCCTTGGCTATCGCCAGCCTCACGCCTAGGAAGCTCAACATCTAACCGTCAAAAAAAAAAACGGCGGCCAAAGAATGGGGTCCTTCAATTCGCGAACGACACCTGGCATGTGCCCAAAATGTCAAGATTCAAGGGGCGGAAAGCAGCATAGCCTGGGCTTTGACTGCTTCCGCCATGAACTCCCCGCCAGTTCTCGTTCAAGGAGCTTGGTCCCCTTTGCGTGGTCGGATTACTTCCACCAGTTAACCCCCAAGTTCCTTTGCAAGTTGGCTTCACCAATGTGCACAAGCTTTAAACAAAAAAAACAAGGCGAACGCCCCCAAGCTTGCTGGTGCTCAGTAGGGAACGACCTTCCGGGCTTTGGGAATAAGGGGATGCCCTGAAAGAAGCTTTTTGCGGGTCATTCCAACTCGTTCCCTGCCTATCGAACCAGCAAGCAAGTGGAACCATCCAGTGGAACCACAGGGGATGGTTTTTTTCCGGGGGCATTCCAACTCATTCCCTGCCTATGGAACTATCGTCCCCAGGTACAAATGCGACTCTCCCAGGCGGCGGAACCGGAACCGGATCCCGACCTCGTCCCCGGCGTAGCAAACCACGTACTCACCCAGCGGCTCGGAGTGCCTCAGACCAAAAGATTTCCAAGGGCCACTCGATTGGTTGAGTTCAAAGGGACCCCCCCAAAAAAAAATCTCGGGACAAAGAAAGCTGGAGGTCTGGGGCAAAATGACCAGCGCGCTTTGCCAGCGCGTTTGGTGGTCTGACTGCGACTGGTATTATTTGCCGGTGGGCGGTGGTCTGACTGCGGCTGGTTTCTTCGCCGATATGCGGTTGCTTTTCGCCGATCCAGTGTGCCTTCTCCTTCCTTTCCCTGTGTTGTTTGTCCTGCTGTTCTTGCCGGCCATGGCAGTTGTGTGTTCGGATCTGTCGTTGACAGCTTCTTTTGGGACCTGTTTCTCGGCGTGAGAGCCTCCTGGTCGCTTTGACGTGGCCTTGACTTCCCAACTTCCCACTCAACAAGTATCCCTTGCAACCGGACTTTCTGGGACTTGGGCATGTGGTTCGTAGTGCCATCTAGACAGGCTTAATCTGGACGAGCGCGAACTGACAGCGGTGGCAGGGAGTCTTCAACATATTTCCGTGTGCCCAAGACAATGAATTATGTTTCAGTGTACTGCGTGACGCGAAAGTATCCATTTCGTTTCTAGCGCCCTCTATGCATTGGTATTGCCCGTGCATTCCGTAGAGGTACCTAGGTTTATGTGGGTGAGTCCATGTAGAGAGGGATGCTGGGAATTCCACGCGCACTTTGTGCTTGACCCTAGTTATTTCTGGAGGCAGCCATATCCATGAGCGCATGACCAATGGGCATACCCCAGCAATGGCAAGATGGATTGAGGGCGCTGGCCTGCGCAATTTGAGGTCTTTTGCAGGTTGCGACATGCACCAAGGCACACAATCGTGACCCTTGCATTACTGAATGTACTGTGCGGCCACGCACAGCACTATGGCTCACTACTTGATGTCACCACGCTTCTTCCCTTTACGACTCTGCTTCTCCGGGCGAATCAGAAGCATTCAACAACCTGAAAGCAATCCCAACCGACTAACTGTCTTGATCGATGCAAGAAAGGTCGCAATCACCTGAGTTGCTGGCAGAAAGCTGCTGCTGCCATTGGCCTGTGAGGGTACCTGCGACTGTGAAACTGGGTTGCCAATCCCAGAGGCTTTTCATGCAACCCAGAATTCTGAGAACCCATGGTACGAACTCAAAGAAACCAAACTTGCCAAAACAAATGGAAACCCAAATGAATGAATGTATGAAGGTATGCAACTCGAGTTTATGAATTGATTATTAAGCCGTGGAACCCGACCACCAATCCAACATTGTTGTGGAACGTGTGCCGTTTCTGTGATACATGTCTTGCCTGTCATTCTGAAGGGATTCCCCGAGAATATCAAACAGAGTGTCAACCAGCAACTTGGCAAATTCCAAGAATTCACAAACCTGAACTGAAGTAGTCCCAATTGATACCCCATTCCGAGAACTTCAGGTGTGCTCCTTCCGGGTGAGCTCACAATTTGCCCAACAAACCGACTTCTACTGCAAGAGGTCAACAGCAGACTGCGCAACTGACCAAATGAGTGAATGATGCACTGCGTTCACTTGTCTGCTCCAGCAGTAGCAATTGGCAGCCGAGATGGGAACAAAAACGGATTCCCTTTTGCCGGCTTTCGTGGTAATCCGAAAGCCAATGCGCGGCCGGGATTTTGAAGCACTACCATATTGATGGTATCCCCTCCAGCTCCCGGCTGGAGATTGATTGGAAACTGCGCTTGCTACACACGCACACGTGGACTCGTGTTTTTTTTGCTTGGTTGTGGCAGGGCGGCGGACAGAAAGGGCCTAGAACTTACTAATCCTGATCTGCAACCTGCAGTGGAACACCACAACAAGGAAGCAAATCACCACCATCAGCATAAGGATTTGGGTGCTTGATTTCGAACAAGCGAGCTTATTTTGACAGCCATTTGGGCAACACCCCAGAGAGTCTCTGCCAGAAGCTCTTGGTAAGCCGTGCCGATAAAGACTAGGTCCTCCAGTATAGAGGTTACAATAAGGGCACCCGATTTTTTTCCTGTAGTCCATTTTAGTAGGGGAACCCTCCCCCAAAAACGGGTGAGACACCTAGCTGCGGGACCTAGAAGAATCCGGATTGGCAAGAATATCCTTGCGTTCAGGCATAACCCTACATCACCGAGTGGGAACGTTGACAAGAAATCATGGAGCCACGCATTCATGAACCTGCTTATACCAATAGGGAGTGCAACAAGTATACGATCGCAAAGGAAAAACAGTCTTCAAGGGGTTGACTTGAATTGACTTCTATGGCAAAAAGGACTGATTGAACGGCACAAATTCAATGTTTCATGACAATTTTAAGAATCAGCTATCAATCCGGGAAACAACAATTTGCACCAAGGCTCAACTTGTTCTTCTCCTCTTTCATGGAACACCCCAGGTAGGAACCGCCGCTTCACCCGCCGAGTCGCAAAGACTTGCCCGTTGACCACAGGTCGGCCAACGCCCACCAAGTCCTAGGAGGATCGCTGAGCTTCTCTCGGGTTCTGATTGGCTCCGATTGGTTCAGGGCGGCTTTCGATTCGGTTTGGGGGGGTTGCCTTTTGATCAGAAATAGAAACGGTTCGACTCAAAGTGATGGACCCTCTTGCAGGGGCCTCTGCCTTGTTCTCAAGGATGGTGCAACGATAATTACCTGCTTGGTAGGCTATACTCGTCCCTGCTGCCCAAATGACAAAGCCCGGGGCAAGTGGAGTTGTGAAAGTTGGATGGAGCATCTGAGCAGTGAAGCAAATTTCGCCAAGGCGAAAGTAGGACGTAACTGTTTGTATGCCACCTAGCAAGGCGATGTTCTCAAAACATTTGCAAAATGCCGTGCTTTCTGACCAATGGCAAGCGCTTGCCCGGCGCGTGCTTTATGACCTTTCGCTGCCCGGCCGGCTCCCAAACTCTTGATTGTATGCAGACAATCCGGAATCAGCAAGCACTGCGGTGTTGCTGAGGTTCCGCCTTGTGCGGGGGTCAATAGACCTCGTTGACGGTTCATAAGGCTGAGCTGACTTCCTACTCATACTGCAATTTCAATACTTGACGGAACACTGGATTAGTGCATGAGATCAACATCCAAATATTCAAACAACATATCCATATCTAACACATCAAAAGAAATAAGTACGATTGAAACTTCCAAATTGATCTCTGCCAAACACCGACCTAGTCATTCACCCAGCGATGCAAACTTCTGAGGCGGAGGCAATGTCCCATGCGGTCTCCTCCATGGCTTGAGCGGGGTTAAAAGAGTTGGCGTGTCTCTGTGAAAGCTAAGTTTACCTTTTCGGCGTTGGCTTGCCAGACCCAAACATTCCTTTTTTCCCTTGGGCGCCTCCTTTGGGGCATTCTCAAAAAACACACACACACACAAACCAACGTCTGCATGATGAAGCACAACTGCTCAGCGCCATCCGCCAGGCCGCCAAACCTTCAGCGCCCGCCAGCTGCACGCAGCCCGCCTCCCTCAACAAGCCATGCTCCGCGGCAAATCCTTGACCAGGTCTTGCACCTGGTTCAGCCGCTTCGCAACAGCTGCAGCCAGGTCAGGGCTCATCTGGTCCAATGCACCCTTGGAAAACCCGCCAGCCTTGAAGAACTTCACCAGCACACATTGCCATGTGGCCACGAAAAGCATGTCACTCACCAGCATAGTACGCTGGATGCTGTGCCGACCACGTGTTCTGGAACAGGTCCACATCGGTGTTCATGTTACTTCTTCAAACGCACTTCGGAGGCGTTGAATCACACAATAGCAAATGTTGGATTGCAAAGGGCTGAAGGTGGCACAAACAGCTTTCCCGTCCGCGCATCCCTCGGTCCATGGCTGAAAGATGACAAAAAAAATCCTCGGAGCATTGCAATCCGAGCTCCTCTCAATTTCTGCGTGCACACAGGTAAGACAACATGGGCAGGTTGAGAATCAACAAGCAATCATCTCACATCGTCTTGTGAAAATGTCCATTTATTCTGACTTAAAACAAAAACAAACACAACTGAAGCCCTGGCTGCATATGGCCGGTCTCTGAAAAGAACGCTGGAAATCTTCATGGCCTTACGCAACAACATGATACAACGGTCCCAGAACTGACAAAAGCATACTCTTAGGTTCGCTTGCAGGTTTTCCGCAAGGCCCAAGCCTCAAGCCTCTGGTACTTCCCCTCAATCTCAGGAACTTGGTTCGACTTTTGTGAGAGCCTGGGGCACGCCCAGGATTTTTTTTGCGGGGGGTGGGGGGCGCAATTTCATGGATGCTGCGGCTCTGAGTCTCTGAGCGCGGCCCTCTTTGGCACCCACCTAACTTACTCAGAAGCTGAACACACAAGAATTCTCCAGGAAGGAACCTGATGTAACAGGACAACACGGGAACCCCTGAAATGGAACAAGACTGATCAATACTGCCCCGTCACGCCAAGCATCACGTGGCCAACATGTACCTATATATATATACACATGTATCTAATACTACACGTAAGGAGAAATTCACAATCCTGAAATTTCAATTGGGGTCCAAACAATGACTCACAAGCAATGTTACCAGGAGCTTCCATCTTGAACTCTGAAGCTGAAAACAAACGGCTCAGCTTTTGGGTGCATGAACCAACTCGGAATGACCAAGTTAGTGTTGACCCCCTATTACCCAACCCCACATCATTAATATTGGGGGGGGGTTGCCGGGGTTGCCCTCCAAAAGTGGCCTGATTCCAACCCTTAAACCCAGAATCGGACACCCCTCAATTAATAAATTGGGGTTGGACTATGGGGTCAACATTTAGCAACCTTGTCCATGGGAACCAAACCTGGTTATGAACCCCCACTAGGTCCTCCAGAGAGGTTAGAACAAGGGCACCAACCTTGTTCTGTAGTCTATTTTAGTAGGAGAACCCTCCCAACCCAAAATGGGTGAGAAAGGGCACTACTGGGGGACCTAGCCGATGGTTTTAATGCTGGTTTGAACGCCAGGGATGGCTCCACGTTCTCCCGCCGAACTCCCGCGACTGACGTCCGGCGAAGTGACCGCGCCTGCCGCGGCGGCGGCGGCGCTGGCGGATGCAGCACCGGGCACAGCAGCTGGCAGCCGCGGTTTCGCTCGGTGGAACTTGGGAGAACTAAAGAAAACAACTTCCCTTGGTAGGGCATATATACTTGGTTGCTTTCTGCTCCCCTGCAAAGTTATTTGTTTGGTGGTTTAATGGAAAACCCATTAGTTGGCAAAAAGATAAAGTCCTAGCATCCAAGCAAAATGCACCAAAGTATGATATATGTACACCCTCCCACCAGCTACCATGGGTTTGTGCACAGACCCCTGTAGAAAGACAACTTTCCTCTTGGAAAGGGCCTGTTGGCACTTCCATGCTAGTTGGTGTGGGAGGGTATATCTACTTTTATTATCATTCCAGCAGCTGAATTAAGAATTGGATCCCAAGTACAGGGCCTTTATGGTGAGCTCGCTATACCCCCAGGTGAGCTCGCCATAAAATTGGCAGATATAGATTTTCCGGGTTTCCCTTAGGGCCATCTGGCTTGGAAACCTTTCAGCCAAACATGGATCCCTGCGTAGCGGGTACCATCGACCACTTGCCGCTTTTTGGAGAAGTCCAACCATGGACACTTCGAGGAAGCACACAATGAATCAGCATGTCCCGTGCTTCAAAATCAGAAACCGGTCCCCGAATGAGGACGCCCTTGGCAAAGACTCACATGGGCATTTGTCATTTGCAATCACTTGGAGTGATCTGAAACACTTCCCTTTTGCTTGGTTGACATTGGAAGGGGAGCAAACAATTAAATTCTAGCAGTTAAGTGGGGATTTCCCACTAAACCACAATAAGCAAAAAATAAAATGCTTTCCAACAACAACCATGTTTGAGCGCAAAGGTTCGATGGTCAGACAGAGAAATCCCTACTCAGGGAGCACATCTATCAACTCTAGGTGAAACATGTTGACATGTGGGACCCCATGATTGTGTGAGGAGGGAGTGCCTCACTATAAGACACAAACCCATCTACCCTCTTTCTCTCTGTCCGCGACAAGGAACTTTAAGTCTTCGAAAAGGCGCCTGAAATGTTCCACGTGCGCAGCACTTCGGTGCAATGGAGCCGCATAGCCAACGGAAAAATATAAACCTTGTCCTAGGCGCCCTATGCATGCAAAATATATATGAATGAATGCATAATATACCTATCATTATATATATACACACATGTTTCATGAAATGAAATATGTGCTTTCATGGATCAGGTGATTTATTGTTGGAGGCATAGCAAGAAACGCCAATACTTGCTGCTCTACCGGAAAAAAATAAAAGGGGGACCCCCTGCTTCAACCCGTCACAGGATGCCGAAAAGGCATGCTCCTTCACGTGGTAGCAGTCGCATGGACTTTCGGTCACGCGGACCTTGTACGTCTTTTTCACGATGGTTTTAATTTTGCTGGAAGTCCAAAAGGACGACCACCCTGTTGGCTTAAAAACCACAATGTATTGTTCCCCCCCCCATTGAGACACAAACCCACTTGTTCGAGCGTTCAACCGCTGGAAACTTTTGTGGCACCTCCTTCTCGATCACGGTGGGCAGGGAGGGCAGGTAGGCCACCGCCAAGAAGTCGAAGCCCTGGCAGTTTTGGGCTTCAAAAGGATCGTCAGGATTCGCCGTTTCATGGCGCTGGGGAAAACCTGAAACGGAACACCATCGTTTCTAGCTCCTCCAGTAGAGAGTTTAGAATAAGGGTACCAACCTTTTTCTGTAGTCGATTTTAGTAGGGGAACCCTCCCCCAAAAAAGGGGAGAAAAGGGCACTACTGGGGACCTAGTCTTTCTGGAGGCAGGTTATAAACACATAATTTCTCTCTGACACTGGAACATGGGCCTTGTAATGATTTATTTGCTTGCAAACGTAAAGTCAGCTCTGGCAACTCAACACTGTTTAGATTTCTTTCCTTGGCATTCAATTGGTTCAAAAAGAGGCCACGCTTGTACAGTGGCAAGCACTCCAGATTCCTGCAACCCCTGTTTGGCTTCCAAGAAGCCAAGCCCGCCACTGCTTTGCGCCCGGCTGAAAGACGGGCAACGCATGCAGCGTGCACGTTTGGCAATGCCCCGGACTGGGTCGGGGGACACTAAGCAACAAAGATCCCAAATCCGCACCTCTTAGCTGACCCCGGAACAACAATATACAGCCATACAGCCTAAACCAACCCTAGACCGAAACAAAACCACTCATAAACAGCTGACCCTGCACCAAGATTCAGCAATCCTGCTCCCTGCCTCAGCCGATCTGACACCAATTGGAAATCCTGCCTGCACAAACCCAAAACCCACCCTACACCCACCGCAATCCCAAACCATCCACAAACCAGCCCGAAACATATCCTAAATTTTCTTCAAGGCAACCTTCCGACACTAAACCCACCTTAAATTCACGCCTCAGGGTGCTGATATGCATGATTCACCACAACGCAAAATAATTATCCTGGACAGCGGAACAAATGCACAGAAACACAGGGGGAATATCTGTCCTGAAACGTGGTGGGAGGCCTGATGCCCTTTGATTAGGTGGTTAATTACGACCTCCTATTGCAAAAAAACAACAACCAACCAACACCAACCAAACCAAAACGAAGCAAACGCAACCAAACCAAGCCAACCAAAACCAAAAACACTGATCTTCAACTTGCCCTTTGCGGACGAACCTCCCCCCCAAATGAGTCACAATCAAAACCCGGTATCAAAATGGTCCACCCAGATTTAGAAGGCGGCTGCTATTCATTGTTGGGGTTGTCCCGTAATTACTAAGCCTTCATCTACCCGGGTTTTGATTGTCGCTCAAGTAGCATTTAGGTTGCGCCTCCAGGGGCAGTGCTGCCTGCAAATACTGCGACAGTGGCAAGTCCTCCGCGCCCTCCTCGCCGCGTTTGGGAGGTTTTGGGGCCCAGAACGACTCGTTCTTTCTGGTGGCTCAAACCACCTTTTCCGAGGCATCTTATCCTAGAATCTGGTGGAAAATGTAAGACCAAAGTCCCCAAAAACCCACATTTTGTGTTCCAGGAGACCCTTCCAACTGCTGGATGTTTGCAATTTGCATCGGCCCCAAGGGGGCCAAGGGCGCTCAGATCTCGTTTCCCAAAGGGAATCTCCACGCATTGCTCAGTGCATTGGCGTCAACTCCGACCAGTTATATGGTAAGAGATGACACCGTAGAAAGTTTTTAGGTACAGTCTCAGCTTGCATCCGCATTGATCCGAGGCGGGCGACCAAGCCGACCGCAAGCAGGGGCGGACAGCACCCCGATAGAACCGGCATTTGCAGCGTACCCAATACCAGCAGACATTGCATTGCATGCGCTGCCTGCTTCAACTACGAAAGAGAAGTACGAGCACAGGCATCGCATAATGAGCCTGCGGCCTCTGCGGTGCAAGACGTTTCAGCATGCTGGACTCCGCAGGCGAGGACGCCGGCAGCTTCTACGAGCCAGCCGAGGAGCACGAGCCAGCCGAAGACCAGCCGGCCGAAGAGAGCCGGGCAGATCTGAAATCAGAAGAGATCTTCAGGGCGCGGCGGGCATTTGCTGCGGGCGCACAAGTCCTCTCCCCCCGTCTCCTCCCCCCTCCCCTCTCCTCCCCTCTCCTGGCCCCCCCTTCTCCTCCCCCCCTCTCTCCTCCCCTCCTCTCCTCCTTTGGGGTACGGGCCGTCCAGGCCTCAGGACAGAGCACGACCGAAAAGCGAATGTTGACTCAAACAACCAATGTACAAACAAACAGCGCAGTTGAGAAAGCGACGCGACTTTTCTCAACAAGTGAAACCACAGCCGAAAGTCAAGGGCGACGCAGTCGCCGACGCACAAACATGCGTCAACGCCACCACTTCTTCAGACGAAGCATGCTCTTATAGGCTTTCAGCGCCTTCATCCACGAGCCTCATGGTCTTGATCAGTCTCCGAACCAGCGGAGATGCCCCAGACTCCAAGACCTGCAGACGCCTCTCGACGTTGGCGCCCTTGGACTCGACCGTCTCCAAAAGCCAGTGGCGTTTCGCACTCAAGATGTTCACCCGCTCCTTGCAGTATGTCGCCCACGCCTCCGCCTCCAAAACGTTCGTGAAACGTTCGTGAACATCGGCCTTGCCCTTGCCGCCCTTGCCGCCTTTGCCCTTGCCGCTGCCCTTGATGTTCCGACGGGCATCCATGACGACAACAGGCGCTTTCTCACTTGTTGTTGATGTAGGTATTGTGATTTTAATGTTATTGATGTGTCTTGATGGTGGTTGATGTTGAGCTTGCTTGGCGCTAGTGTTTGATGATGTTGAATGTTGATGGTCATTGACGGTCCATGTTCCGACGGGTTCCATGACGACATCAGGCGCTTTCTCACTTGTTGTTGATGTGGGTGTTGTGATGTTCATGTTTCTTGATGGTGGTCGATGTTGAGCTTGTTTGATGCTAGTGTCTGATGATGTTGGTGCAACTCAGATTGTCAGATTGTCAAACGGAGCACTCGTGAAACATGAGCCACATGAAGAGCAAACATCAATCCCCACACAGCTTGAGAAAGAAAAGTTTGCGCCAAAGAATGCCCGACAGGCCTTTGCATCATCTTAGAAGCCTTTCTCCTCGCAGCGTATATCAGCATGTGCTTCGGAGACATGCAAGGCATGAACCACAATATTCGGGCAACCATTCGCCTGCACTGTGTGTGGGTTTACAGGGCGCAAGGTACAATCTTCATGGGTGGCGCAGTGGCTAAAATGCATGAGCGTTGCATTCACGCGCAGCACAAGCAAGCAATGCAACCTGCCTGAAGCAGACTTTATCCTGCCAGCTGTCCACAGACTTACGACACGGAGTTTCCGTTGTTTTTCGGTCCGATGGCACACACACAAGCTTTGACAGTCTTGCGTTGGGCGGCCAGGTGCCCTGAATCCCGCTCATCCACACAAGTGGATTGCGCTCATACACCCTGCGTAGTCTCGAGCCCAAAATTTCTGCGGCCCACCCCCCCACCCCTCACCCATGTCTGCTGGCCCTAAGATCCTGTCCGGCGAACCTTGAAATTGTCGGGGGTCGTCGGCGCCAGCAAAACTCACCAACTTTTGGTCTGGCCAGGCCTGTCTGACGTGTCTGAGACTAGCCTCACAGCCCAGCCCAACCAGCAACCCACCAAGCAAGGCCCAGCCGCCCAGCCAGGCTCCAGGCCCGCCAGCGCAGTCCGACTGCAATATTTGAGACTCGCCCAACCAGCAACCACACCCAGGACACGTCAGACAAATCACCTTGTCTTAACCTGTGTCTCAGACTAGTCTCAGTCTGAGGCTACCCCAGCCAACCCAAGCAAGGCCCAGCCCAGCCCGCCCTGTCATGACTCACTCCTGGTCTTGTGCATCGCCCTGCCCTTGCCTCTGGGATTCCTGCGGGCCCCATGACGCCAGATGGTCCAACAAACGAAAGACCCTGTCCATGCCTGAATCGCCACCTGCAGTCGAACCACAGACGCTGCGCCTTTGGCTGGGCTGAGGCGGGCAACGCGCAGCGTTTACAATTATTTGCCTGCAGCTGGTGAACTTTTTGTGGTCAATTGTCCCGGTATTCGAACATCAATTTTGGGGCTGGTGCCGCCCACACCGACTCCGGAACTCCGGCAAACTATCCGCGCACTACTGCCCCCAACTACCCCCAAACTGGGGGTAGTGGTATGATTTTAATCTTTTTCACGAGCATCAGGTGATTTGCGACACCCCCAAACCGCCCAGTCAAATCCACTACCCCCCAAACCGCGCGTTTTGCGACTCACCTTAAACAAACATACCGGCGCAAACCAAGCGTTGATGTTCACAAGTTTCACCGTCAAAACTGATAGCAGCGAACCTGGATGAAACACATGCCGCAGCTCCAGAAATACCTGGATTTCCGCAGCAGCCAAACATGCACAATTTGAGGCGCCCTCGTATAACCCTTGTATAACCCTTTTCTAAACCTTATATAACCTTCATTCATATTATATCCATTGGCTTCTGGGCATAGTGGTTTGGGGTAGTCAATGTAGTCTTAGAGAAAAGAATTGTGCCTGGCCCCAGGACTACAAGAACCTTCAACCAGGCACATAAAACCCTCTAACAAACCACTTTCGCGGAACCTGTTGCGATGCTTTCGCGAAACCACACGTTTCACGTTTGCTGGCCCTCACACACACACAAACACACCGTCGAAACTGATCCTTTGTTTTGCGGGGAATGAGTCTGAGCCGCAAACAAGTGTCGGAAAAAAAGAAGAAAAAAAGAAAAACAGAAGAATAAAACAACAAAAAAGGAGAGAACAAAACAAATCCAAACCCCACACCAGGGGTTCGAGGCAATTCAGACAAACCCCGGGTCAGCCAGTTTGAGACAAACATCCACGATCCAATCCTCGAGGCTTCCCGAATGCCAGAATGACCCACCAGAATGACACGCAGGGCATGGGGGTGAAAAGGGATTTTCCCCGAAACAAAACCGGTTTCTTAAGCTGATTTCCCCTTGCAACAAGCGTACCGCACCCACCGGGGTCTTACTTGCAACCCCAAAGGTTGCAACAAAGACCGCGCAACCAAGGGACGGAAAAGGCAAAACGCCAGGGGGAACACACAGAAATGCAAAACCAGAAACAAAGGCAGGGTTGCCATCAAAGACTTCTGGTTCATCTACATAACACATGCCTATACCTTTGAACCTGATATGGCTTTCTCTTTCGTTTTGCCAGCACCCTATCTCCGGCTTGGTGAAAAGCACCACAAAAGGGAACCTGATTGTTGTTGGGTGTCTCTCAATGAGGGGCCCCACACATGGTTGCCTTTCATATTCATACTCACAACTTGGAGCTGCCCTGGCCAACCTAAAGTTTAAAAGCGCAACTCAAAAGGTACTCTGGATGGCCCTGGCATAGGTGACCTTGTTGGTTAGAAATCGATGGCCCTGGCAGATGGAATAACATCCATCTAGGCCAGTGCCATCTATTTCTAACCAAACCGACCGATGAAAAGGACACCGATGCTTCGCCATGCATGGAACCCGAAAACTTTGAGGGCTCTCCAAGACGTGCGATCGGTTCCGAAGCAGGGGATGAGAATTGGAATCACCCCTATGAACCATCCAACCTATGGCTCTCCTCGTACATGGGGCTGGCTGGGTCCAGCAGCAGGCGGGCAGAGCAGTCCGCAGTGCTGGCCACAAAGTGCTGGGCCTTGGGACGGGTCTTCTGGGAAGGTTTTCCTTTTGGTGTTCTTTCGGTTCCCATCTTCCAAACGACCAAGACGAGCGCCGCCATTTCAGAATCTCCAAACATGTTCTAAAGCTTCCTGTTGGTATCCCTTAAAGACAAGAAGCCAGACACGGCTACCAAAAAACAAAAAAACATGTGAGACGCGGGCTCCATTTTCAGAAACTTGAACATGTGCTATTGGTGTTTTTGCTTCAGTTGATACTTCGCTAAGGTTGGTAAAAAGCAACCAGTGCCGGTTCATGCCATTTCGCCGGGCTCGCGGGCGATGCTCTGCGAGATGTCGGTGAAGTCCTGCGATAGGCAATGGCAACCAAAAGGCGTCCCCCCAAAATGGATTTGATTTTCCTTTTGTCTTCCTCCTGGCTTCGGTTTTCCCAAACATGTCCTTTTCCTGGTGGTTTCGCTGTAAAACCATCAAACACATCTGTACCCAGCCACAAGAAGGACAGACCCTCTCTAGAAAACCAACCAACCAAAGGAGTCCTCACAAGGAACCCTCGGCATGGCCGGTGTGCTGTCCCTGCTTCCCGTTAAACCAAGGAGCCAAGAAGGGTACCCTCCAAAGAATCGCGCGGAACTGGTGCTCTTAGGTCGCAGTGGATTTCCATGAGGAAAAAGGGGCAGCCGCATCTCTTCGAGGCTCCATGAAGGGTGCCAGGGTGGGTCCTCGCTTCAGGCAAGTGGAAGGAAGCTTCGGGCTACGCCACGCTGCAAGTATGTTGTTCTAAGCTTAAGACTTGTTGGGGATCAAAAACAGTTCAGTTTGAACGCATCTTGAGACTTTATTTCTGTGAGCTCAAGTCAGTTGGCCCTTTGGGGGGTAGTTTTCAAGGGAAACCGTGGCCTGTCGTGAGGCCGACTTCACATTTGGTCCCGCGGATTGCCTTGCGCCACATTTGGTATCGAATCCCCCCTGCAAGGATGAGCCCAAAACAAACCCAGCTGGAACCTGACGTAGGACCAAATGACTCTGAGGGGTGTGGAAAGATCATGCTCTTTTTGGTCTGGCTTCTCAAATCATTGGGTCTACTTGAGTATGAAGTCATGTCGCCTGACAGAGGAATTTGACAGAGGAATTGGGTGAGTGTGCCGACTGCCCCGTTTGCTAGAGTGGACGATGGTGAATGAATATTGACGCTTCTTAGCTTCCTGATTTGGCCTGGACCCTAGGCAGCTCACTTCCTACAAGCGCGGATGCAATTCGAGTAACAGCAAAAAGCAAAAGTGACACGTGCCCTCAGAGTGCCCTCCACTACATTCTGAGGGACCTTCCTTCGACCAAGGAACCCTTTGGGCTGCAATCAAACATCTCCGATGATCTGGACCAACCCCCCCCCTCAGCGACATTCCTGAGCTGACATGACCATCCACCCAGCTTGCAACCTGTAGGCTGCCTTGACTTTAGTGGGCGTCGGATAAAAGCATATCTGCCCTTCGTGCTTTCCCTGGAACACAAATGAAGTATTCATCACCCAGCCAAAATACAAATAGCATGCCAATGGAAGAGGGAAAAAGATTGGATCTTCGCACATCAAAACCTTGGATTCTTGGGGTGGCCATGGTTCAAACCCCAGTGAACCCAAAATAGACTAAAATGGGTAGTGCACCTACCCCAACATGGGATCCCATTCTTTTTACCCACAACCGGGTCTCACTCCGGCCTTGTAGACCACCACCTGGTTGTTCTGTGGAAGTTGACCATCGGTGGTCAACCTCAGTCGGCAGGCCATGCGAAGTAATTCCTGCGCGCACTCCTCAAACTAAGAGGGTGTTTTTTCAGTGGAAAGGGCACTGCTGATTTCAATGTTGGTGTGGGGGATCTTCTATTTGCAGGTCAGACGTTCTTTGATTCTGCGCAGTCCGGGCAAACATCTCAGAAACATCCAAGTAATAAATAGGCAAAGATCTGCGGGCTTCTAACCCAAGATTCGCTGCCATTTGGTTTGACCAGAAAAAAGAGGAAAAGAAACAAACAAAACTCCCCTAAGGGTCATGACCCCTCCAATGCACACACCCGGACCCTCCAATGGAGAACCCCGACCAATTCCTCAAAACCTCTTGAAAACACCCAGTTTTTGAGGGCGCAAAAACAATCGAGACCCGGGTCGATGCTTTTGCTTCAGGACCCGGCGTCCGGATCCTCTGGACAAAGAGCTCCAAGACCTAGCGCCGAACCCTTTTCGCGCCTGTCCCCTCCCTTGCCAAAAGCTTGACTTTTAGTGTGCTAAATGGAAACCCCCACTAAACCCTGAAAACCAAAAAACCTCAGAAAATGTCCTGAGCCCGATCTTGGCCCCAGAATTTTAAAGCACCCTTGACTATCAGCCCCATCCAAAAAGCAAAACATATTGCCGAAAACGAAGTGGATGTTGATCTCTGTAACATGAAATGGATCTGTGCTAAACTTGTTCAGCGAAGACAACCCTCCATTCTCGGTGTTGTATGATGGTCTCTGTAACGACCCCTCTACGAAAAGCTCAGCTTTTTGTGGGTCCAATGGACCACTCCCGGTTCCCAAAAAGTTAAAGTCAGAAGATCCAACCAAATAGTTGTAAAGTTACAATGGATTGAATTCGCTGCCCCAATCTCTAGTTGCCTGAAACGGTCCCTGACCAACATGGGAGATACCATAGAATCGGCATGGTATGCCCAGACTATCCTCAAAATTCGCTTTTGGTGGTTTGACGGGAACGTAATATTCACTGTCAGAACTCAACATGCTCACTTGGGACGATTTATGAGGTTCGAGCTTGCACCGTCGGTAACGCATCACTTGCTGCCCCAAGAGCCTAGGTGTGGCCACGTTAGGCAACCCACATTAAACCAAAAGAATTGAAAGGCAGCATGCTGTCCAATCCGCCGCAGTGGAGAACAAAAACATTTCAGTGCGCGAGTGCGGGGGGAACAAGCGCGTTTCCCGGCTTGCTGACTATTTGACGTCGGCTACCTGTAGTTGGGAAGCAACAATTCCACTTTTGCCGAAACAGACAGGACAAAGAGACACATGTGCTATTTGCTTAAGTTGCCATCTGAAACCATGCTTTGTTCAGAAAGAACCATATGAGCTCATTGTTGCGCAATATCAAAATCCAAGGGAGACCACGAGACCAAGCAGCACGCCTATGCCGCCTGTCCCAACTCGGCAGGCGAAATGAACAATCGGAGCGTCCTGCAAGTTTGCCATATCGTCGACAGAGCTGCCAATCAGTATCTCTGAAGAACCGCGAGATGAGCATGCATTTCAGAAGACCAGTTGCTGAATCACAGGTCAAAGATTGGGGATCATGTTTCGTCCGGAGAACCTACAACAAAACATCCACTTGACATAAGAGGCTCTGATTTATCAGGCGACAGCAGTACCACTCTGCATCTTGAGCCCACTGAATCGCTTCTTGCGAAAGGCCAGCAACAGACATTTGCCATAATTTCGGCGACCGCTTGTACTCATATGGGTGTGACCAAGTGGTGAATGGTACGTGGGCTGTCCTCAGATCCCCGGCTACAAAATTCGCCTCGGCCCCAAAGGGGCCAAGGGCGCTCAGATCTCTTCTTTTCCCCTCCCCCCGCCCCCCCACCCCCCCCGCCCATGTTGGCTGGCCCAAAATCCTGTCCGGCGGGTTTTCGGGGTTCGGCGTCCAGCTCCATGGGTCCATTTTTGGTAGAACAATTGCTTTTTTGTCCTGAAAAGCACGACCTCCTGCCCAGCCCAACCAGCAACCCGCCTGGCTGGACAGGCCTGTCAGCCCAGCCCACCCAGCCTCAGGCCCAAGCTTCTGAAACAGGCTTAGCCCAACCAGCAACCCGGCCGCAAGTCATCCAGCAAGCCCAGCCTAGCCTGCCCAGCCCAGGCCCCGGTGTATTTCAGGGGCATGCCAGCCACTAGGCCGCCCCCGGCTCAGCGTGCCAAGGTCTAACGTGTCTGAGACTGGCCTCACCAACGACCAGTCTCACGTGTCTGAGACTGGTCTCAAGCCCAGCTACTAAGCCTGTCTGACGTGCCCCAGCCCCTCAGTCCGGCTGCCCAAGCAGCTCAGCCCAGGCTGTCATTCAGCCCCTTCGGCGCCAAAGTATGCCAGCCTGAGAGTAGCCTCAGGCCCAAGTGTGTATGAAACAGGCCTTGCCCATCCAGCAACCCGCCCAAGCACAGCTCAGCCCAGCCCACCCAGCCCAAGTTCCAGGCGCAACCAGCAGCGTAGTCCGGCTGCCCAGCAGCCAGCAACCCACCCATGGCTTCGCAGCCTCGTGGCTGAGACTAGCTTCAGGCCCAGCCCAACCAGCAACCCACCTCAGCCCAGCCTGCCCAGCCCAGGCCCCGGCGCATCTCAGGGCATGCCAGCCACTAGGCCGACCCCCAGCTCCCAGCCCACCAGCAGGCTCAGCCAGGTCAGGTTTGTGTAACGTGTCTGAGACCGGCCTCAGGCCAACGACCAGTCTCACGTGTCTGAGACTGGTCTCAAGCTATGCCAGCTACTAAGACGTGAAATGAATATTCTTTATGTCCCCCTGTTGGTTTTACATGGAAACTATCACTATTGAGGATAATTTTCCGGGGTACTTAAGCAAATGGAGGTTTGTATTCCCACCATGTACCTGTCTTGGGCTGAGCAACCGAGCAAGAAATGTATGTCATGGCAAGCCGCCAGCCACGTGAAATGGAGGTGCCCAAACACCCAAAGTTGGTCTTGGTTGTTCAGTGACACCAATTATTGTTCCCCTTTTTATGGAGGCCAAGCCCCACTAAAAATGCTCATCCCCAGAAAGAGGTCCTTTTTTTTCCAAGGGCACTGAGCAGCTGAGATAGTCTTGGTTTTGGAGTTCAAACCTTCCGAGCAGGACGGCTTCCGAACATCGAACTAGCACGGGCGAACTGGTGCGGTCACAAGCTTTCAGTAGGATTCGGACCTTCCCAACACTGGATTTCGGTGTTCCTGACCCTTCCCTCAAGCTAGGCTGGGCCGAGGCGGGCAACGCGAAGCGTTTACAATTAACTTTAGTGGGTTAAATGGACACCCCACCACTAAACCAACTAAAAGTATCTAAGAAGCTAAGGAACCGGACGATTCGTTGGCAGTTATCAGGTTTTGATCAACCCCCATTTCCCCCCCCCAAAAAAAAAACGAGCATCGCATTTGGACCCCAACGGACAGAGCCAGGCTTCCCCGACGCTGGCGTTTTGCGTCACCAGGATGTAGCGATGCCGGCTCTTGTCCCCCTGGCGACTCCGCGTTGGGGGGTCACCGAAGTTGATGTCAAAGGAAGTGTGCTTTTTCTGTGTAAAGATTGAGCTTTGGCTTTTAGACTTTTCTGCTATTGTTTTAAATAAAAAGAAAACAAAACCCAATGCCAATGCCAATGCATGTTTTGTTATTTTACAACAAATACCCAACACTGAAAACTTGAACTCCTACCATCTGAGTCTTGCGTTGCTTGGATCATGCTGATGATCAAGACTGGGTCTACACATCTGATGTTGATAAACATGGACAAGAGGCAACGTCATATCCCTTCATTCAAACGGGTTCTAAAGGTCAAGCTTTACTTCTTATGTGGGTCCAGAGAGACAAGTGTTTAACTCACTGGAATCTGCCTCTTAGTGTTAAAATCTACCAGAACATTCCAAGGGGGCTGTCAGCGGCTACAAATTCAAGTGCCCTTGCTGCGGCTTGACCCTTCTGTCCAACAGCTATCCTCTTAACGTCTCATGCCAACGGTTTGGACAGTTTCTGCCGGTTTTCACCTGACCACTTCCATTGCACTTCCCCAACACCTTCCGACGCACGGCTCGAGCCATTCCCTTCGCCTTCCCCTCCTCTCAAAGGCTTCTTTGCGCCAGCTCCCACAAGGAACTTGTGAGGGATGAGTCCAAAGTAAACTCGCTGGAAGACCTCTGATTTTTGGAGCACTCTCACTTAGTTCAGCTGACGCCCTTCTCCAAACACTATCCGGCAAAATCAATCATGCTCAAGCTTGAAATGATGGCCCCTGATGTGACCTGGCCATTCACTCGAAAACAATAAACATGTCACACCTACATGCTACGTAGTCACAATTGCTCATCTGACACCAACAGCACAACACAGTCACTCTATGTGTACGCAAACCGAAGGCCTAGCAAGTAGATACAATATACGTGTTAATACGGGTATATACATATATATTGTATAGCCTGTACGTGTATCTATATATATATACATATGCATGTATTGATGCTTTAGGTCTCTACAAAGATACAGAAACACCTGCCACCAAAAGCTACAAGATCACCAACTCCGGTACACGTTGACACAACCCGTCGAGAGCAAGTGCCCCGCCAGGATAGCGGTGAGCTCGAGGTTGGGGGACCAGTAAAGCCTGGAGACAGTTCGGCTGCATTTACGGGCCGCCTTGGTGGTAGACTTCCAATGGTTAACGAACCCCACAGCCTCAAATATGCTTCTAGGTCCTCCAGTAGAGAGGTTAGAATAAGGGTACCTCTTCTGTTTTCCGTAGTCTATTTTAGGGGACCCTCCCCCAAAAAAGGAACGGTAAAAGGGCCACCAATCGCTGGACCTAGGCTTTATACATGCCGGGTGGGCCCTGAGAACGAATTTGGAGGGAGGCCTTGCGAATCGGTGGGTGTCCATGTTGAGAGAGGCGGGGAGGCCAACGGAGGGCTCCAAGACTCGGGGCCAAGGCCTTTTGGTCTCTCCGGAAGGCCCTGGTCAGTGTTCCATGCCGCAAGGAGAATGGCTGAGAAAGCGGGCACCGAGTCAAAGTGTCAAGGTCCGGCCTTCCAAAGATGGCCAGAGAGAGAGAGAGAGAGAGAGAGAGAGACAATGTGATCTTATCATTGCTTTTAAGCGTGTAGGTCCGCCAAGGAGTTGCAGCAAAACTTGCAATATTGGCCATTGCCATCCTCTTCCAGCTGATGCTTGCGCCACGGGCGATTTGATAACGAGTGCCTATGGAAAATGACGAACCGCGCACAAATCTTGTCACGGAGGTGTGTAGCAGGGTCCGTGCTACTGTATGTAACGAGCAAAAGGGGCGCGACACTTCCACAGCTCCAGCTCGAAAGGCGCGACCTTTCCGCAGCGCAGCAGCACAGTGCATTTCCCCTGCAAGTCGCAACTCTTCTGTGCAAGCGCAGAATGCAAAGTGCACCTCCACAGCTCTAGCTCAAAGGTAGCCTGGTCAGGTCAAAAAAAGGGTTGCTGGACCTGGGTGATTTGGGCTGGGGTTGGGTAGTGAGGGTAATTCACGACTATGCAGCGAGGTAACTAGTGAGTTATAGCACAAAGAGAATGCTTCTGGCCGCTCCCTGCCACCTGTTCCAACTGGTCTTGTTCTGAACTGCCCCGCGAAAGCATGCTCAAATGTCTGCTCTGCAAGCACGCTTGGAAAATTATGCTCGTATGCAACGAGGGGGCATACAACCAGTCAGACGGATTTGCTAATGCAAGTTCATGTACTTAACGAAGGTATGCAACGAGGGGTGATTACGTGAGAGAAACGAGCCAGTGGGCCTTGTTAACTGCATAGGTATGACACGGGGCATGTAACACATGTCCGCGGCTCTGTCACCCCTCAAAAACATGCCCTCATTGGATGTTAGCTTTGCCTTGACAACCCTTGGAGGGTGCTGGTTGTTTGTTTCGCATCCCACGACTGTTTTGTCGATTGATGACAAAGCAGAATGCAGATGTGCAACGCCCACTCGCGTCAAGAACTGAACCATCCACCACTCTGATCTGCCGAATCCAAATGAACAGATTGCCAAAGGACGAAAAAACACCTGAAAACCCAATCTGGCCCAAGAGGAATGTCTTTTTTTTGGGCAAGTTCTCGGAGCGTTTCAGGTAGGTCCTGTTGCCATGAGCCGCTGTGATTTGAGCCGCTGGCTTCGATTTCAGTCACTCTCATGGCCCGAAGCGCTTGGCAATTTTGATAGCAACCTCACCGAGGTGGGGTGACCTTGGCATCCTTTTTCCGAAAAGGCAACCAATCCGATTCGCCAACTGGAACCAACCTATCTGCTCAGCAAGAGACCCCCCTCAGCGAGGGATTCTTCGCAGGCTTGGCTTTTTTAGCTGGTCTGGTAGTTTAATCTTATTGTTTTCAGCAATGTCCCTAAGACGTGCAAGGCGGTCAGGTCTTCTTTCTTAACACAAGTTGCCACTGGGCATGCGTGTTTTTCTTCCCTTTGAAATCCCTCACCTCCAGACACGGGCCCTGGCCCTTCCTCCGTGGATGGCAAGCACTTCGGGAATGACCTTCTCACCTCATGAGCTATGAACATTTCTCCATCCGGTTTCCACTGTGCAATAGGGGTTTGGACACCCTCTGTACAGTGGGAGGCAACATGAAACAAGACTCGGCGCATTGAGTGGAAGAGCGGGATACCCCCCCCCCCAATTACCACCAAATGGCCCTGATTCTCCCCAACTCTGGGTGCGCCAAACACTCCCAAAAAAAGAATGGATGCCCCCAAATACTACTCCGCCCCCTCCCCCAAATTCCCCCCCGCCCCCTCCCCAACCCCCGCCCCCTCCCCAACCCCCCCCCCCAACCCCCCAACCCCCCGCCCCCCAACCCCCCCCCCCCCCCCCGATGCACTGGATGCATGCCCACATAACCCTGATGGATCTGACGCAACTTGGGCGCGCCGGCCGGAAGTCGCGCGTGCAGTTGGCGCCGGCAGGGCCCTCCTCGCCCCACAGTGCGGTGGGAAAAACCTCCTGAGGCGTGAGGCGGAGCTGAAGCAAATGTATGGGTATGGGTCAAAATTAAACCAGGGGACCACAGGTTTTAGTCATTGTTTCCATTTACCAGGGTGCCATTTTGGGTACCTATGTTTGACCAGCCACATGTAGACCCTACACGTTTGAGAGTCAAGCCCAGCATTTCTCTACGTCACTTGTCAAAAACCACTGCTCTTGTCTAAAACGTCACCACTGTGCCGACGAAGAAATTTCACATGACCCGGAAGAGTCGCCAGACCATAACACAGCCTCGTCCCGGTTTTGAGATATCTTTTTTTGTTTTTTTGTTTTTTTTTCTCTCTCCCCCCCCCCTGGCATGGCTCTGTGCAACAAGGGTGTGTTGATGGAAGGAATCCTATGAAGGAACCCTCTTGACTCAATTGAGCAGTTCCCTGCTAGCTCTGGAATCTGAAATATATGAGGTACTGCCCCTAGCTATCTTAGAATCCAATTCAAATATGATACTCACATGTATGCGCTTGCATAACGTGGGTCAAAACTACCCAAAATGGCGCAACGGAGTTCCTGTTGGTGTCCCCTAAAGACCACCAAAAAAGGTACCAGACAACAAAAACGCATATAGGGCAAGGGCTATTCTCATCTCCAGTTGTGCCCTGACTGGAAACCCATCCCTGCTTTAGGCTAGCGCGTTTAGTATCATAGAGCAGTGGCGGGGCACTGGCCAAACCTATTCAGGTTGTGCTCAAGTTCATATCTGCAGGTGCGATGCACTTGTTGGTTTTCCCAAGGTAGCAGCGCGGCGATTTGGAGGTGTCTTAAACTGACGAACATACCTCTACATAGCTATACCTCAACATTGTGGCTAGGTTCTCCAGTGGAGAGGTTGGAATAAGGTTACCCTTTTTCTGTCGTCTATTATTCTAGTGGACCTAGTTGGTAACCTCAGCATACCTCAACCGCAACCAGGAACGCCGGCCGGCGCCGCTGCACAGCATTTTTCTGCTCTCGTCCCCGACAGCTCCGCGCGCCCCGCGAGCGGGTTCGAAGGCCATTTTGGCAACCGGGCTCGGGGGCGCGTTTTTCTTTCGCGACCAAATACTCTCGGAGCTGTGCTCCTCGCAACGATAATGCAAAAACCCCTACAGCCGCCACCAGAAACCAAGGAGACTGCGGATTCCACGCAGTGCTGTGCCCCTAGTCATTGAGAACCTGATGTGTTGGTGGCTGAACAAGCCAAGCCTCATACTTTACAGCGTGGAGTAGAACACCCAAAGGAGCAATCCGCTTTGGACCCCACCTGGTAATGCCTTTCCTGTCTCCCCTTGCAAGGTATCCCTGGGATGTGAAGCTTTGTCAATCGGATTTACCTTCAGCAGAAACCCAACTTCAGATTCTCTTGAACCCACCAAATCCTCTCCTCATATCATCTTTGATCTACTTGACAGGACTGGACATCATAGCGTGACCTTCCGGGGCCTCGCTGAAACCGATTTTGTGGAAAGCCAAAAGGTGGACAGCTTCGGGGAGCAAACCACCCGCGTGGCAAAACGAAGGCCGTAAGAAGGCCGTAAGAAAACCATCCCGGAACGGAACCTTGATTGCAGGTCTCTGAAGCGGCTCTCCGTGGCCGAAATTGCGACCAATGCGAATTAATGCCGGCTGCCAATTGCTACCAGCAAACGAGAGCGTGGCTCAAAATGAGGCAGCCGCCCATCCGGGAGATCGTTACTGGACACCTTCCCCTTACTGGACGCATTCTAAGGATCACGAACCTGGGCTTCCAGAGTACACACACCCTTTTCTAAGGGACTGACACGCCCGAGAAACCACGGGATAGTAGCTACTCAAAAGCTGCCCCGCGGGGCTTTTTACCCATCCGGACAGCCTCACGAAGCCCTGAACATCTGGAAGCCCTTGAACGCATCCCAATTCTGGAGGAATCCCCTGACTCCGACCCTTTGAACATATTCCCAGGTTCCCTTCTGCTGGGCCTTACTTGGACATGGCAAAAGAACAAGGAGCTCAATAGCGTTGGACCTCAAACAGATCTCAGAGATTCAGATACGAGCCCAAGATATCGTTCTTCTGTGCCAAGCAATGATTGCGTCCCATGTCACAAGCCCAAAGTATATACTGGCCCAAGAAAAAAATGCAAGATTGTTCACAAGAGGTCCCTACAGACCGGATGCGCAACAACTTGCGTTCAGCTTCTCGGCCTCTCGGGGGGCACCCTGTGCGTTTGTGGCAAGGGGGACTATCCCTGAACCTTCTACCCAGGTTCTGAGTGTGGCTCATATTGAAAAAGGGGGCTGGGTGCCCTTTGATTAAACTAGGTCCTCCAGATTTTAGAGGTTAGAATAAGCTGGTACCCGATTTTTTTTCTGGACGTCTATTTTAGTAGAGAAACCCTCCCAGCCAAAAAAGGGGTGAGAAAGGGTACGACTGGGTGCCCTTTGCTTCGTTGGGCTGCTGCCACCCCATTTCGAGCCACTGGCATCCTGCGCAAAGGTCCCCGGTTCCACGCGGGAGCCCCCGGCCAGGCAACTGTGGCGTCGACGTCTTGACACAACCTGCTGCGAAACACATCAGCTCCCCTCCATTTGGTGGAGCCCGGTTTGGGGGGTTTGGGGGTGGAGCGGTTGTCCATGCCTCTACAGAAAACGCCTTCAAGTTCCCCGAGCCAATCCAAACCACTACGGGTGAACAAAAGGGCCTGGAACAAAACAAGCTAGCCATCAGCTTTTGGTTCCCTTTGGGTAAAATAGTTTTCCTTTTTTTCTGGGCTATTTGGCACCCATGAATGGACCAACCTTGGCCAAAAGTGATCAAAGGGCTGTTATTTACCCCTGTGCCATTGCACCACGCAAATAAAGGGCCTAGCCGAAAGCAGGGATGGATTTCCAGTGAGGGCACAACTGGAGATGATAATAGCGTGCGCTTCTTCATTTTTTGAGTGGAAACTCAAGTTGAACTTTGTTTGCGTAATGTGTGTTTAAATGTCAGCTGAATTGTAAAGAAATTCGGTTGGAAAGAACATATTGTAAACAGACTATCAATTAGAATGGACCTATTCTAATTCTAAAGGGAATCTTCGCTTTTGTCCTTCCCCACCAAAAATGTCCACCCTACTGGCTCTAAGATCCTGTCCGGCGGGCCTTGAAATTTTGGGGTTCGTCGGCGTCCAGCTCCATAGGCCCCGTAAATGCGCTGAGCGAAACTCACCAAAATAGTCTTTTGGTCCGAAAATCCTGCTGGCCAAGCCTGTCTGACCTGTCTGAGACTAGCCTACAAGCAGCGCAGTCCGGCCTAATTTGAGACTTGCCCAACCAGCAACCCACGCCCAGCCCACATCAGACAAACCAGCCCTGGCATACTCACATGTCTGAGGCTAGCCTCTGGCCCAAGGCCCAACCCAATATCTGAGACTCGCCTCAGGCGCAGCCCAAACCACCAACAAACCACCAACAAACCACCAACAAAGCACCAACAAACCACCAACACACCACCAACAAACCACCAACAAACCACCAACAAACCACCAACAAACCACCAACAAACCAACCACAAACCAGCAACAAACCAACAACAAACCAACAACAAACCAACAACAAACCACCAACAAACCACCAACAAACCACCAACAAACCACCAACAAACCACCAACAAACCACCAACAAACCACCAACAAACCAACCACAAACCAGCAACAAACCAACAACAAACCACAAACAAACCACCAACAAACCACCAACAAACCACCAACAAACCCACAACAAACCAACAACAAACCACCAACAAACCAACAACAAATCACCAACAAACCACCAACAAACCACCAACAAACCACCAACAAACCACCAACAAACCAACCACAAACCACCAACAAACCAACAACAAACCACCAACAAACCACCAACAAACCACAAACAAACCACCAACAAACCACAAACAAACCACCAACAAACCACCAACAAACCACCAACAAACCACCAACAAACCAACAACAAACCACCAACAAACCAACAACAAACCAACAACAAACCAACAACAAACCACCAACAAACCACAAACAAACCACCAACAAACCACCAACAAACCAACAACAAACCACCAACAAACCAACAACAAACCACCAACAAACCAACAACAAACCAACAACAAACCACAAACAAACCACCAACAAACCACCAACAAACCACCAACAAACCACCAACAAACCACCAACAAACCAACAACAAACCAAACCAACCAAACAAACCAAACAACAAACCACCAACACCAACAAACAACAACAAACCACCACCAACAAACCAAACCAACAAACCACCCAACAACAAACCAACAACAAACCAACCAAAACCACCAACAAACCACCAACAAACCACCAACAAACCACCACCAAACCACCAACAAACAAAACAACAACCAACACCAACAAACCAACAACAAACCAACAACAAACCAACAACAAACCACCAACAAACCACCAACAAACCAACAACACACACACCAACAAACCACCAACAAACCACCAACAAACCAACAACAAACCCCAACAAACCAACAACAAACCAACAAACCAAACAACAAACAAACCACCAACAAACCCACCAAACCAAACCAACAACAAACCACCAACAAACCAACAACAAACCACCAACAAACCACCAACAAACCACCAACAAACCACCAACAAACCAACAACAAACCACCAACAAACCAAACAAACAAACCACCAACAAACCAACAACAAACAACAACAACACCAACAAACCACCAACAAAACAACAAACCACCAACAAACTACCAACAAACCAACAACAAACCACCAACCACCAACAAACCACCAACAAACCACCAACAAACCAACAACAAACCACCAACAAACCACCAACAAACCAACAACAAACCACCAACAAACCACCAACAAACCACCAACAAACCAACAACAAACCACCAACAAACCAACAACAAACCACCAACAAACCACCAACAAACCACCAACAAACCAACAGCAAACCACCAACAAACCAACAACAAACCAACAACAAACCAACAACAAACCACCAACAAACCACCAACAAACCACCAACAAACCACCAACAAACCACCAACAAACCACCAACAAACCAACAACAAACCAGCAACAAACCAACAACAAACCACCAACAAACCAACAACAAACCACCAACAAACCAACAACAACCAGCAACCACCCAAGGCGCCCTCCAGCCCAGGCCCTCCAGCCCAGCTCGCCCTGTCCTGTGCATCGCCTTGCCCTTGCCTCGGGCATTCCTGCCAGCGCATGACATCAAGTGGTCCTACGCCAGAACCTGTCCATGCCTGAATCGCCACTTGACCAGCCCTGCTGCTTGCAGTCGAACCACAGACACTGTGCGCTCGGCTTGGCCGAGGCGGGCAACGCGCAGCGTTTACAACTACGGTTCAACTTTATTTTAATTGCAATGTTCTATTGGGAAAGGATGTACATCTAAATTCTAAATGTAAGATGTAATTCCCAGTAGGATTCCGATCAAGTATTTCCTTATTGAATCCTATTGAATTCCTATTCAAATCCACACTGATTTTTAGAGAGTTGCCATTGGTGGAGACGTGAATTGAGTACGACAAACGCTACAAAACACTGTGTTTTACTGTGTTTTCTGACCATGGTAGTTCTGGGGCTAGTCAACACAAAAAAGACCTCTGAATTCTTTCCTGCTCAAATCTACTTAATATCTTTACCAAATTCTACCCAATACTGCAATTAACTAGAAATTATAAGGAACGACTCCAATCAAAATGTATAATTTGAATTAGACTTTCAATTATGATTAATCTATTTCAATATAACTGTTACACGGGAAATCCTTTTCCAATAGAATTGTCCTTACACATCAGTAAGCATCTAAACAACATGTATTAAACATCCAAGTTATTTCCTTACGAATTCTACTCAATATATTTATCAAGTTCTACTTAATTCCTATCTCACATTAAACATAATTTAATAAGGAAACAATCCAAACATAAGTATTGGTTTAAAGTAGAA